GAATTGATGCTGACATTGGAGTATCTTGTTGAGGCAGGACAATGTATGAATGGATCAATTGAGTATTGATGGTAATGTCTCTAGTTAAATTGTTGATAATCCTATAAACACGTAATCATCAGCCTATGAAAAGATAATCAAAGAGACATGCTTGATTTACTTGGAAACTGTATCAGCAGACCTTTGAAAGCGCTGGTTGAGCTTGGTGTTTGAGAGTCCGGTGATGAGAAAGTAAATTAAAATAGCTAATTGCTCGGTGCTAGTAACGTATCTGGAATCGGAAAGTGATCCAGATTCCTCAAGCCGTCCTCTCAATTCAACAAAGACAGTCTTTTTCATTCCCATATTTTCATAAAAGACCTTCTCGTGCCCACTTAGTAATTCATCAATCCACATCTGGCCAGAAAGGATCGATCTGATCCTTGGATTTCTGATTATGGTGGGCTTCAAGATTCTGCTGTAGTAGAATCTAGCCGATTCTATCAAGATTATGTGGTGAAAACATATGGCTTGGCGGCGTCGATGTCTCCAGCGTTGAAGAGCTTGATGATGATACATATTAAAATTATGGAATGGATTTGGATTTATTTCACTACGTTCAAAGGATTATGAAAGAAAGGAAGAGGGTACAATTGGAGACTATTGATCTCAATGACCTCGGTGACCTGTTTACCGAATGACAAGATGTCCTGATGATCCCTTGATATGATCATCATATCACTTTTGATTCGGTTACCGAAGGCTTTCAAGGATCACAGCTTTACATATACATACACGGTGAGAATATTTCTCACCGTGATGTAAAAATCATATATGTAACTTTTTTCGGGTTTTGTTACCGAAGTGGGTGGTATGTATGCAAGATGAACTATACTCAGATATACTAAACTATACTGTGCAGTATAGTTGGGCAAGTTGATGGAAAACATGTATAACATTTTCCAGGCATAGTATAGTATGGTTTAAACAATATACCTTACTATACCTATACCAGTATAGTATAGTCACACCCTTCAAAAATACACTTGGTGTTGCTCATTGAGACTGCATCTTTCAGCCTAGGATTTTGTCAAGCTGAAATTGGTCATAGAGATGATTAGCTTGGCAAGAAGCAGTGATTAAACTTAAGTTGATCAACAATCATTCATGGTCAGTGGTAAGTGCACAGAAAGCCATGCCCATTGCATTGGCCTGTCCTTTGTGGTTTTCAAAGATCAAGTGGGTGATTCCACTATAAAAATGCCTTTGATTTTAATTGAGATTGAGATCTCGGAACATGTCTTTTCTTTCATGTGCATATACTCTCTCTTTTTGCTTACATAATTCACCTGTGGAATACTGTAATTGTTGGATATGTGATATGTTCTGTCCTATATGTACACTTCCTACGGCTAAGGTTGTCAGTGCCACTCGCCATTCCGGGTTTCCATCTCAGTGTTGGGCATGTTTCTCCACACCACATTCACTTGGACACGCGCACTTAGCTCAGTGGTTAGAGCACCCTCCTAGATATAGGGATCAGGTTGTGGGTTCAAGTCCCGCAGTGCACATTTTCTTTTCTGACATTCCAATAGGTTATGAGCCCAGATGCGTTCACACCATCTACCTAAGTCAGTTAAGTAATGTGTACTCTTGCCCCTACAAGTACATACAGTACAGATCAAGGGGGAATGTTGGATATGTGATATGTTCTGTCCTATATGTACACTTCCTACGGCTAAGGTTGTCAGTGCCACTCGCCATTCCGGGTTTCCATCTCAGTGTTGGGCATGTTTCTCCACACCACATTCACTTGGACACGCGCACTTAGCTCAGTGGTTAGAGCACCCTCCTAGATATAGGGATCAGGTCGTCGGTTCAAGTCCTGCAGTGCACATTTTCTTTTCTGACATTCCAATACAATGACATCATAAGTTTGAGTTTATAAAGGTCTTTCAATTGCTCTCTTTATACCTTTCTCTCTTCATCAAACTCTAACTTATTTTGTCTAAACCAATCTCCTTCCATCAGATTGTTGTATTTCTGTTGATCAGCATGTTAGCTTGATTAACAAAGCTAACTACCTGTTCTCCACAGGTATCTCATTCAATTATTTCAAGTACCAACACATCTGATTATCTCATCCCAACCAAACTCATTCTACATATCCTCATTTATATCAATATCATAGCTGTATATACATTTTGATCCAAGATTATTACATTTTGTAAATGTATCATTTTCAACAAACAACTCAATCTTGAACTTCTTCATCTCAATTTTAGAAACCTTTCTAGTATCAAAAGGATGTCTTATATTACACCCCATTTCATTTTGTTTGCTTGCATCATCACTATCTCATTTGGAGAGTATAATGACATTCCATGTAGCAAAAGAATAAATAACAAAGCAAGGCAAGGGATCAGCAAAGTTCCTTCAACTATTTCACTGTCAGGTCTATTTGATAGCAAATATTTCACTCTTGTAAGTCTTTCTTTTTAATCAAAGTTCATAAATCATATAACTGTTTTCTCATAGTATACTTTCCAGATTTGTTAGCTTCAAGAGTCTAAGCCAGTACAAGGAGGACTTGCTTGTTGAATGATTCCAGGAGGTAGCTTGTCAGTTCTCAATGTCTCATTAAGGAGAGCCAAAAGACCTCCAAGTAATAACATAAAAAAGAAGCTTATGAAACAATTTATTGAAATCCTTATTTCATTATTATCATATCCTTTGTTTTCTTGCGCGTAAATCAAATATATAAAATAAAAGAAACCCACAACTTTTGGTCTAGTTTCAAAGACTCATAAAACCCAAAACATAACTACAAATTTTTTGGTTTAGTTTCACAGACCCAAAAACAAAGGAACGAAAACAAATAACAGACAGAAAATATCCCAAATAGGAAAGACCATGTGGACATTTAAACATGAGATAGTGTCAAAGACATAAAAACTCATTACCTGAGAAGAACCAATTAACTAACCATAGAAACCAATCAATAAGTATCAAGTGGACCTAATAACAAACTTCCCAATTGGGAACTATTTAGTTTAAAGGAAACAAACATACCAAAAATACAAGAGAGACTTAATGGAAAATATATCATCCAATATATCTAACCACAATTCAACTATGAGGTTATGAAAGTATAAATAGATTTTTTCCTTGAATTCAGGAGGAGGGTGACTGATTTTGAACCCAATTTTATTTAGACAAACATCTAACTAAAAACCTTTTCATCAATCCTCTCAGATTTTCTCAAGTAGCCTTCTATTACTAGAACCCTTCTTGTCAGCCTAGAATTGATATCCTTGCTGCTTATCACAGCATCCACTAAGAATCAGCCTCTCTAATCTTTCAGATCTCTTTGACTGATGTTTGGATTACCTTCTTACTAGCTATCCAAGTAGCTTCATCGCCTTGTGCTTTCCAGCTCCTAGGTTTCTGATATCAAGACCTCATTTGTACCTTTGACAAAGCCTCTTCTGACTTGGGTTAGTTAGTTTCTTTCTTCCTCCCCATTTGGTCAATAGACCCAGTTCTTACAATATCTTCATTGGCAAGATACCTACTATCTTAGGATTTTAGGCTACTCTAGGTTCATACTTCGGAGAAATTGCAGGCTTGGGCTTGACCTCTCTTCATCTGTCACCTGAAAGTGGGCCTGCCCTGCTATCCAATCCTAATATTCACACCAAAATCCTACATCAGTAAAACTGATATAATTTTCTGTGCGACCTGTTCTAAAGACAGCCACTCACCACTCCCCGTGACCAGCAAAGTATCAGTCAGGAACCGTACTGCAAGCTGTAGGCTATACCATTTGTAAGTAGATTTAGTAGCCACCCTGAAATGGCTTCCCAAAGAAAGGAGGATTTACTCCAACACCAAAGCCCGGAGATTCCTAAACAGAAACCTGATGAATGAATATGTATTGATTTGGCTTTTGTAAAAGGTTTTATCCTTGATCATTTCTTTGATAGAATGTGTATTTGTATATAAATGTAAATAAACACAGCAGAGCAATAACAACCATTTTCAATCTAACTTTGGATATGGTACAAGCTTGCAAGTGAGAACTATTGCGCACGACCTTGAATTCAAACATCCCATAACTTGAACTGTTCAAAATTGTTCATTGCCATCCAAATTGTGTCTGTCCATCTTTTCTTTTCTTGACTTTTTTCATCCAAAGTCCCCCCTGCCTTCCAAAAGTTTCTGAACATGAGGTATATCACAGAGTATCTCAACTTGAGTCCCGGGAGGGAGTGCTCTGTTGTCCACCTACACTCGCTGGTGCGCGCGCCCAGGTACTCGAAATCATCTAGTCTGTTGAACATGATCAACACTTCCTCATCCCTGTTAGATGAATGATTCATTTGCGCGAGTATGTAGCAGTCATCCACCTTCTCCCTGTTGTGACTGTTGTACCATCATGTTTTCTCACATACACCTAACTCATTGGCCAAACAAAATTCAATCACAAATGAAGCCTTAACCATTTTTTGCTACCTGTTTTATATTGAAAGTGCATTTTCAGGTTGATCACTAAAAAAACACATGCAGCCTGGAAATCAAAGTTCATCAACTCTCAACTTTCCTTTGAACCTCCTTTAACCTCTTCACTATGCTATCAAATTGACTTGATTAATATTTCATCGAGTGGTCATTTACATGAAGTCAAGCTTTCAAATTCTAGGGAATTGGGAGGGCAGTGCTACAAAGATGTTCTTCTATGTTGAAAATTCCTCTGCATCATAAAGGTACATAGGCGGTTTGGCAAACCATTTCGTTGTCTTTTCGTATTGTCACTTTCTGACCAAGAAAGTTCAAGAGTATTGAATTTGTAGGGGCCCGACCTGGCCCCACGGCGCACGCTATGGCCATTGTTTTGACGGAACAGTCCGGGTCAGGCTCGATCGAGCTAGCTGTCACATCCCGTGAAACTAAAGGGTGGGTATTCCTTATGTGACATCAGCGATTGATCAGATCGCTAAACTCGAGACCATTGATCAATTGAACCATCATTGCCACACTTTCAACTTGGTGTATTGAGAGTCCTACCTCTTTATAAATCTAGCTTCGCTATCCTAACATGGCCAATGGTATTCCTACCCAAGGTGTTGGTAGCCTCTTCACTCTCATCAAACGGTGGGTTCGTTCTCAGCTTATAGTTCAATCTTAAACAAGCGATCCATTGATTTGATTTACCTCTAGGCTTGAGGCTGCTACCTCCCGACTCGAAGACATTGCAGTAGCCCAAACTTCCGTAGGAACCCCTGCATTGCTTAATGAAGGCTTCTCTACTCACGCCTCGCCTAGTAACGTGCCTGGAGTCTCGTCTGGCTCGGCATCTAACCCGGAGGCGATGGAGACACCCCCTTCGATCAAGGCCTTTGATGAACTTCTCTCGGGATCCTTGGCGCGGTACCTCACATTGTCAAAGGACGTAGGTGGGCCTGCCCAAGAGCAAGCCAATCACGTCGAACAAGCATTCATGGCCCAACGCGAGTTTCTACTGGTTGCCAGTGCTTGTCAAAAGCCTTCGATCGATGCCCTTATGGAGCTCCTCCAACCTACTTCTGATCCTCTCAACAAAGTGGTAGAGGTCAAAGATGCTCAACGAGCTGAGAAACGTCTCTTCAATGGTCTCACTGCGGTGGCTGAGGGTATTCCTGGTCTCGGCTGGGTAGCCGTGGAGACTAAGCCGGGTCCAATGGTATCGGATGCAAAAGATAGTGCGCAATTCTGGGTCAATCGTGTTGTCAAAGATAACAAAGACAGGTATGTCGAACCTCGACGTGAATTCCTTTACTTCCGGTACACGTTCCTTCAGATTCGCTTTCATCTAATACTCCTTGCGTACTTGAACAGTGACCCACAATTGGCCGACTGGGCTAAAAGTTTTATCGTCGTGCTCGAAGATTTACGCAAGTACATCATGCAGTATCATACTACCTGTCTTGTCTGGAATCCAAAGGTCGGCTCTTCGTTATTGAGCTATTGATCTTGACCTCTTGCCCTCGATGGCCTACAGGGAATAAATACCCAGGGATAGAACTAACCCACTATATCTTTTGCAGGGTGAAGATGCCACGAGTTTCGCTAAGCGCATGTCACCAGCTGGGTCTCCTTCAGCCTCGACCCCGCGGGCACCCACTGGAGCCCCTTCCGCTCCGACACCACCACGACCTGGACCACCACCACCCGGGCCACCACCACCACCACCCATGCCATCAATGAACCAAGCTTCTGGAGCGGCAGGTGGGATGGATGCTGTATTTGCTGCACTTAACAAAGGTGAAAATATCACCAGCGGACTAAAAAGAGTGGATCCGAGTCAGATGACACATAAGAACCCGACCTTACGAACTTCATCAGCCACGGGCCCATCCGGAGGCTTAACAAGTCCACAGGGTAGTATCAAGAGGCCTACGAAACCGCCAAAACCCCAAAGCTTTCAAAAAAGACCTCCTAAGACTCAACTAGATGGGAATAAGTGGGCGATTGTACGTGATCTATATTGAGTGTATCAGAGAGCAATACCCCAGATCCCAAGCGCGCTCGGTGACTCTCACTGCTTGTACTGATATAATATCTGGCCTTTTAAACTCTTGTGTAGGAGTACCACGAAAATCAGTCTTCGATCGTCATTGAAAACACTGAGATCAATCAAATTGTCAACATCTTTGGTTGCAAAAATTCCACAATCTCGATCAAGGGCAAAGTGAATGCGATTACATTGGTATCGTGTACCAAGACATCTGTCTTGTTAGAGTCGGTTGTTTCTTCACTTTCGATCACTTCTTCTCCTTCCTTTACCGTTCAAGTACTCGGAAAAGTTCCGACGGTCATGGTAGATGCGACTGATGGAGGTCAGATCTATTTAAGTAAGGAGAGTCTTGATGTTGAAATTGTGACGGCGAAGACTAGTGCTTTGAATGTGAGTTTACCGAGTGAAGAAGAAGAAGGAGAGTTTGTGGAACGAGCTATGCCAGAGCAATTGAAGACGGTCGTAGTGAATGGCAAATTGGTGACAAGTGTTCTTGAACACAGTGGTTGAGGTCCTGGAAGCTATCTTTCTGCTACATACTAAGAGTCAAGCGAAGTGTGGAGAAGCCATGTGTGATCATCAACGGTGTTTTATGTTTTTGTTATGTTATTTTCGAATTGGTTCATTATTTCAAATGGACAACGTGGTTTCTTATTAATTTCATGGATTCTGAGCATATTATCTATACAATCGTATCTGGAATATACGATTGAATTGAGTCTTTGTTTTTTAAAGCTGATGAGACTCCCCTCAAAAGGAAAACATCTCTGTGTTTGACTCAATTTTTCACCGATGCTGGATGGAAGTGGCGCAGCGACGTGTCACAAGCGTGACAAACTGTCATAGATGACGCCTTAAGTTGAATCAAAAATGGCGTTCCTGCCTGAGTTTACAGATGTCCACAGCACTGGAGTCGACTAGGAGATAATGTCCATTGCATGTATACGGGGAGTTACATTATGACTTCAAGCAACTATTTCTCAAACACTTGTCGAGTTGCAGGTCAAGTCAGATTTTGACTTCAAACCCGTAAGTCAATCCATCGAATTTCGCACTACAGTCGACTCCCTCGAAATCCATATCCCTCGAATCCCATACTTCTGCCTAACCCATAGAAATTTGGGTCCATAAAATTTATAGGCGGGGAAAAGTGGCCCAAAACCCATACCTCGCACTATTCCCATGACCCATAACTTTTTTTAGGAAACCCAGGTCAAAAGCCATAACCAAAATTTGCCAAAGACAAAGATTTATAAAAAAAACGCATCCTTGTGAATTTTTCGGCATAATCAATCTCAAAATGCTTCCAAAAGACCTTTCACAATTCGGCGTATCAGATATTGAAACAGGTTTCAATGCTTTACAAACAGAGAATAACAAACGACTCAAGCCTCTCAAGCAACTTATCAGTGAAGGGAAGAAGTTATCAGAGGCAGATGAAAGATTCATAGACTGTGCTGGAAACTTAATAGATGAAACACTTGTGTTGAGGAAGATCATAGAAGAGGGGAATGTGGCTAAGGCTGCCAGTCAATTCAACAATGATGAACTGAAGAGACTGGAACTTTTGGTTTTGAAATTCAATCAGACCAAGGAAGCGGTGATTGCTAAAAGACAAAGTAAGTTGTAACCTTCAGGATGTAATTGAGTTGTTCACTTGTTGAAAAGATGTGTTGTTCAATTTTTTAGGCTCCAAGAAACATGTAGCCGAGGAAAGTAAAGGAAAAAATAACCGGCCAACAAGTAAAAAGAATAAAGCTGCAAAGGCTCAATCAACTCTGGCTCAGCGAGTTGAAGTCCTTGATTGGTACGAACGGAATGGTTGCAATCAATCTAAGACTGCCCGACACTTTTCTGAAATCTATCCCGAGTTGAACATCAAGCAACCACTTGTTTCAGAATGGGTCCGAGACAAGACCAAGATTTGAGAGAATCATCGAGCTGGTCACACTGGATCTCGAAAGAACACATCCGAGCATCCGCAGGTTGATGAAGCACTTCAAGCCTGGGTTCAACAGGCTGTCATTGCAGGCTTAACAATCACGGGCGATGTGATATGATCCAAGTGGTGTGAATTCGCTAAACTCTTCAAAATCTCTGAACAAGACTGGCTTGCTCTTAGTGAGGGATGGCTCACTCGATTCAAGACTTGGAACGGTTTACGCCACATAAGAAAGCACGGAGAAGCTGGCTCCGTCCTTCCTGATACAGTAGCTGCCGAGCGTCAACGCCTCCGAGAAATTACCAACCTTTACCATCCACGAGATATTTGGAACATGGATGAGACTGGTCTATTCTACAGGTTGGTTCTCTCTTTAACATATGTATACAGTGTAACATTTATCAATAACAATCACCTTCTTATGTTTTAGCATGCCCCCCGACAAAGGTCTTGCATTTGGGCCAAAATCAGGGGTTAAAGGTGATAAGCAAAGATTGACCTATGCCCTTGCTGCTAGTGCTGAAGGTGAAAAGATTGAACCTTTAATTATTGGCAAGGCAAACAAGCCTGCATGCTTCAACAAGAAAAGTGGTGAGAGTCTTGGTTTTTGTTATCGTAACAACACTAAAGCATGGATGACTTTTGAGCTGTTCAGCAGCTGGATCACAAAGTGGGACCAAGATCTTGCGGTTCAAAAACAACACATCCTCCTACTAGTTGACAACTTCAGCGGGCATGGAGAGCCTCCCGAGCACAAGCTTACAAACATTCGGTTAGAATTCTTCGCACCCAACCTAACCTCACATATCCAACCCTTGGATGCCGGAATCATAGCCTCATTCAAGTGTCACTACCGATCAAACTTTATCAACTATTCACTGAAGCGTTATGATGCAGAGATCCCGGTTGCTGAAATCTACAAGATACACCAGCTTGATGCAATGAAATTGGCTCAAGAAGCTTGGTTTTGTGTTAGTGAAGGCACTATATGAAACTGCTTCCGCAAGACTGGGATCATCTCACCTTGCAAACCTGATGGATTGATAATTGATAACCCAACTGTCTTAACATCAGACTTGGACACTAACCTCCCAATAGTCCCAGATTCCGAAGCTGAGGCTGTGTTGGCCGAAGATCTCGAACAACTCAAACAGCTCAAACTTGTCCATCAATGGAACATGATGCCAATTGCCGAGCTTCTCAATCCTCTTGGAGAGCATTCTAGTGGATTGGAGGAATGGACTGTCGACGAAATATTTGAATCGATCAATAATCGAGATACTGACAAGAATCAAGATACTGAAATAGACATTTTCAAAGTCTCCACTCCTCGACCAAGCTATACAGCCTTTGCATCTTCCCTTTCTGTTGTTTCCGAGTACACCAAGCATGAAGACACACCCAAAGCAAAGTCTTTTGAAGCTGCTATTCGCACTGCTGGCAGGCACTTTTGCTTAATTCACACGCGATCTTTAAAACAACCATCATTATCTGACTACTTTATTAAACATTAACTACAGAACTCTTATACATAACTATTGTTATTGCGCACAAGAATGAAGAAATGGTTTTTTTTTTATTTGCTTGTTCCTTGTTTTTATCTCCCTCTTGACCCATACTTTGCCCGCCGAACCTTAATCTATGGGTGATGAGGGAGATCCTCCAAAACCATACGTCCATAAAACCCATAGTTTTGGGCTTCCATGAAACGGTATGGGTTTTGAGGGAGTCAACTGTAGTTGAAAAGGTTCTGAAATAGCTTCACATGTTTCCCAAAAGTGATCTGCCGGCTGATTAGCTGCTGAACAAAAACACAGATTCAGGCTCCATGCCTAGTGAACGAGGTAGTCACACTGAAAAACATAGCAAGTGCTGATGGGATTTTATCATTTTTGGCTCCTGTGATCTTGATACGGGGCTCATCAAGCTTTCATCATCAAAAAATCTTGTAGCAAAGCATACCTTCATTCAAAAACTGCGGCCGAGTTGTTTGCAAAGTGGTATATGCGGGTGAGCATTGGAGTTGCAGCAAAACATTAGCACCAAAGCTTCTTCAATTGGTACTGAAATGCCTGGAAGTTTTCTCTCCACAAGTGGTCTTAGGTCAGACACTTCTTGAATTTGGACCTTTGATTTCCCCAGCAACTTGCATGTACAACAGCGGGTCTTGATAAACATACGGCAATCGAGTCAATGGACATTTATGACTGCTGTACAACCACACCCTCAGTCACCATATCTACTTTGTTAAATTGAACTTCAGCACACAAATCATGCCATCTGTGTCATATCTGTTATATCCACTGCTCTATTATGTTGTGTTCAACAAGTCAAGCTCAGCCTCTACAGCTGTTCCATTGAATTCCAAGCTTGCGCTTGTTTCCATAGTTGATCATGCCAAATCCTTCACAGCAGAAATTGTCGTTCACAATCTTTTCCCAAGCCCGCATCCATCCCTAATCACCACCCCACCCAATTTCTTTTCTTGAGTGACCGCTGCCGAGATTTCAGAAGAGACGTCAGTCGGCAGAAGCGTTAGCTTTGAGGACAAACTTTGAAAACTTTTCGATACCTTTAATGGCGCGGTCACATATATGCAAGGAAAGCAGCTTGCGCTCTATCAAGCTTATCAACACTCGGCGTTTTTGACTCTTCAGAGAAGTGAAAGAGCTGATGTCAAGTCTCTAGCTCAAAGGTTTTGACGACTGCCTCTCAAAGCTCTATTGGCTAATCCTAATTTGTGTCCTGATATAAGTCCAGATGCAAATTGACTGGTCTCAACGGCCTTGGTCCTCCTCAATCAACAACATGTTGTTTCTTTGGAGCAAATTTGGATACACAAAATGATACAATGGATCCAAGATCTCAGTCCAAAGACCCAACCATCCTTGGTTATCAAGGAACCCCATGAGGCTGGACTGATGCAAGCTCAACTCAAGAGGTATCTTTTACAGGGTGAGTGGTTTTGGTTTGAAAGTCTGGAATACATGGGTGTGCATCTAATGAGGCTTCCATGATCAAAAGACACCTTGCTGAAGAAGACAATGTATGTCAACCATCACCCCTCAACTGGAGCCTACAATGAGAATGGTGAGTGGCAAGCATTTGATTGACATCTCATGTCTTATCTCATATTCACTATCACTCCCAGCAAAAGGTAATTTTCCCAAGGAAAAAATGATTACATTTAATGCATTTTTAATCAAAAATGCTCATTTAATGCTGAATAATGCTTATTTAATGCTGATTTAATGCTGATCAAATGCATTTTCAATCATTTTTTGCTCTAAATGTATTCATTTTTTACTTGGGAAAATTACTTTATGCTGGTAGTGTATATCTCTTGTTGTAGATCTCCGTGGTGCACTTTAATCTCTGCTTTACAATAGATTGTCTGTGGTGTCCATTTTTGATCCTGATAGACTTTGTTTGATCTTTAAGGTATAGAAAAGATATTTCAATGTGTGAAACTTCTCAAAGAAATGAAAGATGAAGTGCCTCACCTTTTCAGTCACCAGGCCGGGCAGCATTTTCAGGAGATGTTTGAAATATTAATGACGGAAAGGTTGGTTGGGGAGCCAGCACTTGATCCTGTCCGCCACAATCTCCTCACCAGGCTATACAAATCAATTCACTTTAGTATCCTCACAGGCCCAGAGAAAGAGTGTGTGTTAACATACAGAGTCCTCAAACACTTGCTCACACATGTTCCTCAATTTCAGATCAGATTTGAGAAATTACTTTCCTCTGATCATACTGTTTGACAGAAAATCAATGCTACAGAAGAACTTGTCACTCTAGATGCCGAGAAAGGTAAGGAGCTGATCAAGCCTCTCACATCTTTTCAGAACACTAAAATTCATGAGCTGAAAGATGTCCTGCATAAGCTAATCTACTTGGGATTGGAAGATAACCAATACCGCAAGCAACTCTACGTCTCTGTCAGTGTAGTCAGTAAACTTAATAATGGAAGGATTTTCAAATGCAACTTTGGAAAAGTCACAAACTTCTAGAATGTGTGTCAGGAATTTGGGAGACGATGTACCCCAAGATTGTTATTGTCAACTGGGTTTGGTGTGGTGAATAGTTGAGAAGCTGCTTGAGGATTCCTTCCACAAGCAAGGGATGGGGGTCTTTATATAGACATCCATCTCTGCAAAATACAAATAAGGAAAGTGGACAAAGATACAATATGATGATGTCAGGGACATCGAGATAAGATAGAAGATGGCCGGATCCGATGGTGTTTGGATCCGGACGACAACATTGATGGACAAATCCGGGGGATTTGTCAAAAAGAAAAATGGGGATACATTTTAAAATCACACAAAAGAATAAGCACACTTGAAAGAGCGTGAATCAAAAGAAGAAAGATAACAAAGAGAACACAGGGAATCAGGGTATCACAAGATGTCTTTGGAAAGGGTTCCTAGACACAGTTATGAATATTGACTATTTTCCTTGCATTTGTGGAACTTTTGTTACCTGATTCATTTCTATGTCAATTTTGAGAAGCTGAAAAATTTATAACTGACATGATCTGAGGTCCCAAGTTCCTTGAGTATGCGGAAAAGTACCTTCTAATCAGTCAATGGCCGGATCAACTAAGTAGTGATATTGCGGCTCTTGGGAGGAGAGTAGCAAACTTGCCTGTTGAATGGTATTGGTTGTCTACTTGGGGTGCAATCTTGTTGTCAGAACATTATAAAATGCTTCTCAACTCTGCGCTGCTATTGTATTTGAATGCATATGACTCATATGCACATCTATGAATTACTTGCACAACTTTTCAAACATAACGGGCCAGTGATCATCAACTCCTTAACTAAAGAGTTGGAACAAAACACTCATCTAGAAGAAAATATGCAAATCTTGGCAAGACTCTCACTTTGAAATGATATGGACCTTTCACCCCTTGCAAAAAGTCTGTGTAAAGACTTGTCCCAATGGATTATTGATTGTATGGAACCAATTTGGGTTCAAAGCAGCTTTGCATACATTGACCAAGTTCTGCTTTTGAAGGCTTCCAAAGCTCTACTAATATTTCACAGCTTTTGAGAATGTTCTGGAAGGGTTTAGACCATTGGATTTGTGTGGGTGCGTACAATTAATTTGCAATAAATTCAGATGAATGATTGTCTTATATATGAATATATCTCAGATTCCAACACGCAAGCAGTCCCGGAAGGTTGGAATTTGAGGTCACTGATTGCATGACAAAACCAGCTTTATTGCCTAAGGCAGTACATGCATAAACAACACAACAAAGGTTGTGCAAGATCACCATAATCCTCTTCAAAATCCATGCTAGTATTGGACAGATATCTTCCTCAACGCAATATTTCAAAGATCAATGAAAAGTATAAAATTTTATAATGAACATATAACAAAATGTTGGGCTTTGGTTTTGGGTTAAACTATAATAGGAATTGTAGAGAAATAATTATTAATTTGATTTGATGACTTAGTAGTGGTTAAAATGATAATTAAAAGGTGATAACTTTAATTGCAAGGCTCCATGTATTTTTTTTTGAGATCAGCATGGAAATATACCTTTTTATGATAAAAAAGATGGTAAAAATATCCAGTGAAAGCCAAACCCCCACACACATAAATCTCTCTTCAATTCAGGTGAGCAGATGGCTTTTTTTGGTCAATGAGTTCAAAATGATGTTGCAGAAAAGTTTATGTGAGCTGAAAAACAAGATGTTAAATCAAAATAAGAAAGGGGTGGATACTTTTACAGATGAATCATTCTTCCAGTAGGGATGAGGCAGTGTTACTTATATTTGCTAGAGTGGGTGATTTAAGGTAACTGGACTTACCAGCAAATGTTGAGGGGGACTACAGCACTCCCGGAACCCAAGATACCTTGAAAAGTACCCATCTGGTATATCTAATGTTCAAAAACCCTTGAAAGGCAGAAGTGGGAACTTTTGGATGAAAAGATTGAGGAAGGCCAAGATATGAATATTTAGCACACCCAGGTTTTATGTAAAGATCAAACAGATACAATTTGGATGCCAATGAAAACTTTGGAATGTTCCAAGTTATGAGAAATTTGAGTTGGAGTTCTGCATCCTTTTGAGCAAAGCCTTCAATTGCATAAGAAAGAACAGTGAAATTTTTCTTGTAGAATTTTTCCTGTTGTGTCATTTTCCTCTACCAAATTTCCGGACCTCTCACGTCACAAAATCACATTCAGAGTAAGTATGTTGTATCCAGGCTGCGGGTTTATCACCTGCGAGTGACTATGTTAACTTTGGTGAATAAGAGTCATGAAGGTGCTTCAGAACATAGTGGAATTGTGAGGTGCTATCAAAACGATTTTCTGATGGTTACACTTTCTGATTATCTTGTAGCTGTCAATCGTCTGATTTTATCTAGGATTTGTATTATAACCTTTGAGAATTGTTGTGCTTTTTGTAAGCTTGACTAGGCCCCTCAGGAGTGTGTTTTCCGCGCGCTGCTTATGTGTTTTGTCTTTCTAATTGAAGTATGACGTACTTTGCTATTTGGTTATCTTGTCTATTACTCATCCTTTCTCTTATGATTACGAACATCATCTAATGATGTCATTATGTTAGTAATAGATCATGTGAGCTGTGATTGCTGTGACGGCTTCTTGAGATGTTATTGGTATATAAAGACCAAGTCTATCATCACTTGTACTTTCTCTTTGTCCTTACCAATTCTATTCATCTCTTCGAGCAGGTTTGTCTAACTGCTTGTTATTGGTTGTTGAGATTATCATCTCACTAGTCAACTAACTAGTTCACTCCTCAGGTTTGTCTAACTGCTTGTTATTGGTCGTTGAGATTATCATCTCACTAGTTAACTAACTAGTTCACTCCTCAGCCTTATAACAATTGTTTAATTTTTCTGATCACTTTGTGCTTCTCGATCAGCCTCTACTTGCTCAAGTCCTCATTAAAGGATTCATCCCAGCCACGCGTGAACCATATTTAGCTGCCCATCTAGCGCAAGTGAATTCATGTGGTGTTGTACCCAGGATTCAAAGGGACTGATTGGTTGATTTAAATTTCTTTCGCAACCACACCAGGGCGCACTTGTACTACTACAGCACAAAGTTTTGTCTAAAATGGTTATTATTGCTCAGCTTTTGTTATTTACATTTATCTACAAATAGGCATTTAGGGTGTTCAAACCTGTGCAAGAAATGTGCAAGACCGACGTGCAAGATCCGTGCAAGATCCGTGCAAGATTTTTTGCACTAATCTTGCACAGTAATTTTTTTGACAACCCGAGTTATTGTGTTCCAAACCGTGCAAAAACCGTGCGAGACCGACTCTTGCAAGTTTTGTGCAAGATCCGTGCAAGTTCTATTCATATCTTGCACAGAACTTGCACAAAACTTGCATGAATTTACATTTATCTACAAATAGGCATTCTATCAAAAAATGATTGAGAATAAGATCTTTTGCAAAAGCCGATTTGATCCATATCTATCCATCAAGATTCTGATTATGAATCTCCAGGCTTCCATGTGGCCTATGGGCAGGTTGACCTGCATTGATCAAACACTTCAAATAAAAGACCAGAGATGTAGGTTTTCTTTAGCTGTTAGCGCGTTTTTAACGTCTCCAAGCTACGCCTGCAAGATGCAAAAAAACGTTAGCGCTTTGTTTTGTTAGCTTGCTTATCCACGCTATCACTGGTCCGGGTGTAGATTGACTTTGAAGGGTGAAAACAAAGCATCGCCGACGACGCCAACAAACAAAATATCCAGAAGCTGAATGCACAATAAAAACCCAGTTCTCACAGCGCATCCGGCGACTGCACAGGAGAAAATTTACCCGTGCTAGCCAACCTCAAGGTCAACTCACAACCATCAGCATTGGGATGTTTCACCTGAGATCCACGTACATAGGATGTGCCGGGGCAATTTTTGGTGATGCTGATCACGATTCACTATTGAATCTCGCCGGGCCTTCCGCATTCAACCTCGTTACATCCGCCTCTACAGACACTTTACATACACTCTGCTCAAGAAGTCATGTGAAGCCACATGGAGAATGAAATGCAGATTCACCCCGATCCACCTCGTCCGCCATTCACAGATTCACGTTCTGAGTTGTCATCAGAAGCCTGAATGAGGGTTGTGCCACGAGAAGAACAAGCTCAAGCTGTTATCAAAGACTCCGATTGATGTGTTTTCTCGCTGATCATGTTCTGGTCTCTCAAATCACCAAACTTTATTGCAATCGAATCGCTCGACATCTCAGATATACCGTGCGGAGAGGTGGAGCCACTCTACCACACAAATCGCCGCGGCTCCTCGAGGGGCGCGGACGCAGCCGCGCGAGAGGGGCTTAGTTAAGCTTACGCGGCTCCCGACCTTTTCAATGCTCACCCAAACCGTACCTCACATCCGGTCAACAGCGCGCAAAGGGCTTGTACCGCGTGGCCAAACGTCTCTCGACAAGTCCCTGCAGCCAGTAAGCTTGCTTGCAGTAGCTTCGGTGACCGGTTTGTAAATCGACGACGTGTTGGCTGGTTACGACTTACAGACTGAGACCTCCCCCCACTGCAGGGAATGCGGCCATCTGCAAGCCGCCCACAGAACCGGTCAGATCCCTCGGTACTGTATGTATGTACAGCACGCGTGGGTTGGCAAGTGAGAGAGGTTGATCGGTTAAAGGACCGGGCGAGATGTGATCATGAAGGTCACCCCTTGATTCGGTTTACTCGTGCTGATCCTACCCCTTCGCTTCAATCGCCCAATCGACACAAGGAGGAGGGAAAGGTACAAATCGTCGATCGATTCCATGTCTCCTGACACTGATGCTCAACCTCATGAGGAGCAACATATCTCTCAAGATCTCTTATCACACGTTTTTGGCTCTCCTGAAGGATACACTACCTTTTGACATAAGAATTGGGGATAAAGCTTCAGACCCCCAACTGTAACACCATGAAGCCCAACGAGTTGCAGATTGTTGCAGGCCAATGCATTTTCAAAAAGCGTTTAAACCTCAAAGCGCAAGCGGTCAGCAAGTCAGTTATGTGTAAATGCGTTTACTTGGAAGAAGGCATGACCTGGCATGACTTAACCGAGGAGAGAGAGAAGAAGACAGACAAGGTCAAGTGGGTGTTCCGATCGCAGCACCTTTCTTTTGACTTTTACAAACACGCTTGCAGGGCATGCACCGCGCCACATGTGAGTATGAGTGGGAGTCTCTCTGGGTCCCTGCTAAATGTAGTCCCCTACCAGGCTCACCCCTCAAAACAGTATGTATGTACAGGAAGTATGACTATGTACAACCCACCAAAGGAGGAGAAGTGAGAGTGAATATTGAAAGACTGAAAGACGAGTTAAGATAGCAATTTCTTCTTTTAATGAAGAAAATACACTTTAACCAAACAAAACTGACCCCTTGCTTTTTTTTAAACTATCACCTCACCCTTTAAATGGAAATGGAAGGCTTGATAAATCTTCAAAGGTTCTGATCACTTCTTTGAGAATAACCAGTGGATCTACAGTGATCGATTTGAAATTCTCACGCCGCTTTCTTTCAGTATAGCCTACCCTAGTACCCACAAACAAAACGCCTTCAAGATTTTTTTGTTTACAACAATTTTAATTGCAATCATTTCCCTAAACAACGATTCCTTCTTGTGTAGAACAACATTTATATTCTCAGTAGGTTGACGCCTGATGGATTTTAGATTCACTCTTTGACCTCTTCGCATATATATACGTTTCTACCTGACTACGTACTATCTTCAATCGCCTATTCTTGACGAGTTCCAATCACAATTACTCTTTCACGCTTATTACCAATATATATCCATCCTAGCAGTTGTAGGCGGCTTTCGAACCGACTTTCTCTTGTCCATACAAGTACTAACCAAATAATCGGACACAATCGTCGGAGATATATACCATAATCCCCATCTTATTCCACGAGGTTGCATATTCACACTACATTACCGGCGGTGTAGGATAGTGCATCCATCTACATAACGCTAACTTCCTCATTCGTTAGCATTTTTTTCATCTACCGGATTTTTCATTACCACCCTTTTCTTTCGCTTCTCGCTCTACTTAATCTTCCCATTTGTTTTCCCATCCCTCTACAACTTCCCTTCTCTGATCGAGTTTCCTGACAAACAACATATCCTTGGGGTTCACAGTTCATTGAGCGTTTCACAGCATACGTAGAGACCATCAATCTTATCATCCTTGATCGCGATTATAACCGAGTTCAATAGTTATCCCCCATCCGAATAATATCATAATAGTTCTAATTTTAGGCTACAAATAAACAGCATACATTCACCAAACATATCAACATCACAGCAGGAAGACGATCAAACATCTATTCAGAATGTCATGCATTTTTCCCACTTCTGATCTTTCGATTGAAGATAAAACTAATCATACTCAATTGGATTTCGAATCGATCACTTCTGAAGACGTTACAACCCAAGAGGATCAAGATAGCTTTCCAGACGAATTAGAATCAGTTTCTCATTTGATCGAAGAACGTGTAGTTGACGCGTTTTCAAAAATCCGAAAGAAATTTTCTTCAAATGTTAGTGTGTTTTAAACTCTGTAAAATCTCATTTCTCCTGGGATTCAAAAATAGCTCACATTTTTTCAATACATATCTTGATGATAGATCTTGAAAATGGGTGAAGGAGTAAATGACAGCGCTGAGGGTAGACGTCGAAGCGCTGACGATGGACGTACCACGGAAAATCCACTCAAGAAACATGGCTTTGCCCGTTCAATAGCTGCACCCTTACATCGACTCTTTGGCACAACAGCTGACGCAGCGCAACCACTATCGAAAAGAAAGGCTCGATCAGCTTCCTTTTCATCTTACAGACCTTCTAGTGGTAGTTTGACCGCACTTCTAAGACTCGGGAACGCTTCTGAGACAGATTGGGATTTTCTGTGTCAAGGTGAAGTGCCTGATGTACCACCTAGGAATGATGATCATGTGCTTTCAGATTGTTGTTCCACTCCTTGGATCGGCGAACTCAGCTTTGAGTCATCTTGCACGTCACCTTCATCAACTTCAACTTTTGCTACATCTGTCACTAGTCTTCCAAGCCCAACTCACCTGAGCTTTCAACAACCACCATCTCCTACTTCTCCGGTCGGACTTCGATCATCAAAACCGACGAAGCTGTCAGTCGATAATATCTCAGCTCCAATGTTACCTCCACCCCAACGTCGAGCATATACTAGTCCCCCTCCTGGTCCACTAGGCTCTTCTATACCTCTGCCATCTTGTGTTGAAGCATCTGATTAAATGGCTTCTCTTGGCTTCGAAACGAAATCATATCTACTGAGCTCGCACTATCGATACACCTGATTCCAACATTTCATCTATATCAATCACAAAACTCGTGTGATGTGTTTATCCCCGTTCCAATCCGATTTGATGATTTCTTTCTTCTCATTCAAGATGCAAGAAGCAAATCAAAAACCCAAAAGGAGTCATCTTTTTTTATACTCCACTTAAATATATCTTTTTCTATTCAGAATGATTTGATTTGAAGATGTTTCTACAATTTGTTTCAACTCCTTTTCTTTTTTATACTTTCTTTTAAATCTTTATTGACAACAAAGAAAAGATTTCATTATTCATTCATTCATTCATTCATAAGAACAAACAATTTTTCATTACTTTTTTTGATTGAATATTCTCTTTTTCTTTTGTATAAAGAAGACTCTGTATAGTAATCTCAACCTAAGCGAAAAAAACCTTCTCATTCAAGAAAGTAAAAAAAATCTTTTCATGTTTTTATTTATGTTTATATTTGTTATTTCGTGTGTAACCTTTTTCTTTGGCATATACTTTTGATATATAGTTTTATATGAAAGTGTAAGATAATGATTTGATTTCATTTTGTTTGAATTTCATTATATCTATTCTTTTTCTTTTTCTCTTATATTATATTCGGATGTTCAATAATAGGTTTTTGTTTTTGTTTTTTTGTTTTGAGTTTGATTTTTCTTTTCCAAGATGCTTTACTTATCTCCTGTGTATCATGTTTTTTTATGAAAGAATACTATCAAATTTAAACACTTCATATACAACACTTTTTTTGAATCAAGAGAACATCAAGAATGCCTTATGCTTATTGATTGAAGAGGCAGACCTATCCAGTCTCAAGTACTCAAATTGTGTTTTATTCCCATATCAATTTAACTACATCACTTCTTCTCTGTCAAGATACAAGACAACCAACAAACATAAGAAGAAGAAACAGAAGCTCAATCCAATTCAATCTTGTCAATCTCAAAAGCAATCAAGCAATTGTTAACCATCTTTTCTTTTCAAAGTTCCCCTTTCTTCTTTTTTCGGACTTCTATCGGACAATCATTTAAGTTATGTCTTATTGATCGGTTCAAAGTGATATGTATAGATTTGTTGTCACCTTTTTTATATTCGAATTTTCAATTGGTGTTTTATTTAATTTTTAATTTGGAAATCATTCAAGATTCTTTTCTCTTCTTCTTCAAGCTCCTGAACATCATGTTTTTCTGAATGGAAGGATACTCCTGAATCTGAACACTTGATAGAAGTAATAATATTTTTTCGTGATTATGAGAATGATCCGAAGAAGTGTCTGATTGATCAAGGGGAATTGGATTCATCAAAATATATCAAGGTCAAATAGTCAAGCCCGAGTTCCCAATCATTCAAGTGCAAAAATGTTGATGAATGATCCTGCAAACCACAGCAAAGCTTGGCCCATGCAAATACAACCACAATTCAGTGGTTGTTGTGGAGAACACTAGGGGTTGGGCGAAAAACCGACCAACAGGTTTCCAAACCCCGTTCAATCGCCGTTCAAATTTTTGGGAACGTTTGCGAGATGGCTCGAAATCGATATCAAAGCCACACAAAACCAACAATGATTTTTATCAAACTTTTTGCTTTGCAAAATTGTTGACCGGTATGCTTGGTTGCGTGATCACGCCCATGCTTTAACCGTTCAAAAGCTCCTACAGGGAAAGCAATTTGCGGCGCCACAAGCCTTGCAAACGCCCTCTTTGCACCTTTTACAGATCCGTGAAAGGTGCAAAAACTTGCCCGAGTTCTTTAAGCTGAGCTATCGGTGGGGCTGGAGGAGAAAAATCAGACCCAAAGACTGACTTTGGGTCTCTTTGGCTAACCCGGCACAGCGACGGGTCTGTGAAACCTCCACCCAGTTGATTTCGGCCATCTTCGGCCGTTTTCGATTCTTTTCTCAAGGGCGCAAAACTGGTTGGTCAGTTTTTCGCCCAACCCCTACTGTTGGCAAAAATGTGTAATCCCACTCTTGGTATTTATTGGCCATCATGCCTTTGGAGACAATGGTTTTTGGATTTGGCATGCAAACTTGAGGTTCCCCCCATGCTTTGATTTGTCCTTCACAAATAGGTGTTGATTGCTTGTCAACATGTGGACTGAAAATTCTGTGGCTGGACACTGCCTGATGAATGTCAGCCTCCGTGTTTTTGCAGCTCTTGGAAGGTCAAGTTTGTGTTCATTTGGATAAGTTCTCTTTGCTCATAAGGAGATGTTTTCTTGTTCTCCTCTTATGATTTATAGGGACCCCCCAGCAAGGTTTTTTCTATGGAATACTATGATGTGACTTTTCTCACTCTTCCTTGTGAAAATGGAATCCAAATAGATGTCATTGCTTCTCAATGACACTCTCTTATCATTGAAGTTTCCAAGGGAAGCTTTATAACAGCAAGGCCAGAAAGTCCCTCAGTGACCTTAAACACAATTCCAATTGTAACCAACAACTCCACAAGTGGAAAAAGTATTGGCTATGCAACTGTTCTGGCAAACATCACATCTGTAATCAAACAAAGACTGATGTTGAGAGGTCATATGGTGGCTCCATTTATGTTCAATGCCCTGCTAAATCCTTTCTCCAGAAAACTCTTACTGGTGATCTGAAATTTGAGTGGCATTGGAAGCACAAATACCACAATACCTACTCACTTGAAGATATGCACAACATGTACTGGCCATGGTTAAATGAGTGTGGCAGGTCCTGACCTTTTACTGGTTTTGTATGAGTTACACTTCATTGTTTAACCATGCTGATGCTTAAGCTACTAGGATGTTGGCTGTAAGCTTATAAGCATTGTCCCAAATGCTGTTAACTTTGACTATCAGATTGTTTATAGTGCTATCAGCAGAGTTAAAGAAAAGATAAGATCCCTAGATCCCATTGCCCTCCAGTCTACTCATCTTTTGTGTCAGAGTATGCAAAGACAAGGATGTCATCTCTTGAATGCAACCAATCACACAGAGCAAAAAGTTTGGATTGGTTTCCTTTCTCCTTGGCCACAAGAACAGCTCTCTAGGAACAGACATGATGATGTTTGCTTTGAATATACTCATGGTGTTTGTTTGGTTTTCCAGAATTTGCACCTATGAAGTTCAACCTCTTCACACTCCCACTTTGTCAACTGTTCACTGGCAGCACATTACCTGTTGCATGGTTTCTCACTTCTGACAAAAAGGCATAAGTGCATTGTCACTCAATTGTCTAGTTCTTGGTGATGCCAAAAGGGGTCTTAAATTAGGGAGAGTGTTTCAAGATTCCTTCTGCTCTGCACAAGAAGATTCAAGAACTTCAATCAAATTTGAAGGATTTTTATCTTGGTATTGTCAATGTGGGATCCAAAGTAGAGAACCCAAGTTGGGTTTTTCAAATTCCCAGATTCCCAGTTCCCAAGTTCACTTTTTTTTGGCTGGAGTTGGAATTCTGGGTGGTTTTGGCTGTAGATAAGAAACTGGGAAGCTGGGAAACAAGACCCATGTTTTCTAGTTGGTATACCTTACTTTATTCCTTTTGTAGAAATGGTTTTGAAAATCTATGCATGTGCCATCCTTGATAAGAGTCTTCCAAAAATTTTGTTGACCACTTGCTACATCAAGTTTTGCAGTTTGGGTTCATTTGAGCCTTGATGTCAAATTACCAAGGACTTTCCTTGGCCACAAACAATAGGCTAATTGACAGGGGGAAGCCAAGTTCAGTTGTGGCTCTTCTTGTCTGCTTACTACAAGGTGCTATGTATGTATATGGATTGCAGTATGGGGAAAGGAGTACTATATAATGAGTCTTAGTACAAAACCTAACTGTCAATTGTGACATGTGGGTCTGGGTGCCACAATTCCAGGTATGATCATTACATTAAACCATAAAGCAAAACCTGTGGGTCTCTGTCAATGTTATACTTCTGACAGAGCCAGGCTAGCAGTTGTGAAGCTGATTCCCCAGGCCAGCTACCACATCAGCAGCTTGAGGGGTAGGGAATGTCTAAGTCCACCAGAGCTGGGACTCTTCCTCAACGTCATAGCATGCAGTCATTACCTTGAACTCAAGATAATAATAGATCCAAACAACAGCACCACAATTTGATTTGGCTGGAATCCTTGAGAACACAGCCATAGAAAACCTACAATATCAGTACTTGGGTCAAGCAGAAATTATGAAGGAAGATTTCCAGTCAATTCTCTATGCATTTGCCTTGATGTTATGTGATGAATAAGCATCCCAGATTGACAAAAATTATGGTCAAAAGAAAAGATTGATTATCATTGGAAGCTTTGAGGTATGATCAATTAAGTATGCCAAGTCATCCATCATGGCCTACACAGTCACCTCCAGTTACATTCACAATCATACACAACATACAAAAAAACCAACATATTGCAAAGGTATATCAAGACAGAATACCCAATAGATGATATAGTAACAGTCAAGTTTATATATATCCATATATAGCATCAGACTCGGATGACATCTTGAGTAATGACAGTTGAGCGGGTAATGTGAATATTCTCGACAGATATATCAGGGGATGAGACCAGACTTTCACCGCAGGTAGTAGATTTGGCTAGAGTTTTGATTGGGCGCAGGCCGGGGAAACTTCCCTCGTCAGTATCTCTTTCTTCTTTCCAACACGCGGTGATATCCCAACCCAAAAGCTGGGAAGACAATCTTGGGATGCCTTTGGTGACCGAGTTCAGCGGGACCCGACAAAACTCGGATTCGTCTGTGGAACGTTCAGTGAAGATACGCCACTATTGAGATATTACAGACCAATCCCAAAGATAATAGAGAGGAATAAAGATGAGTCATTCTAAAGTTCTCAACCTCTGATCCTGATTGATAAAATGCAATGAAAATAGGACATTACCGATTGCAAAAGAAGTGCCGGGGCCATGAAAACTCCAGGAAACTGACAGAGTATAGTGCCAGCAATTCTCCAAGGTATTCTATGCAATGATCCCCATCAGATAATTTTTTCGTGGACGAGGGAATATAAAGACAGTTCATGCGTACGAATCGATATGTCGGCTGACAAAAATCATAAGAATGGCCTCACACACTTGAGCACAGATACTTAGGACAATCACAAATGAAGATCTAGACAAAAACTCTAGTAAATTTCAGGAGAAAGTTAGCTCAATTAAATGCGGTGTTCAAGGCTATTCGTGAATTCTACAGACTTACGAAATTCTTTCTGCAATTCGCGCAATATTCTCGAAGACCATGTCGCATTGACAGTCATTGCATCGGCTTCACGCATACGCAAAACTTGTTCAAGCATATGCAGCAATACGCAGACTACAAAAATGTAGAACTGTGAGCTTGCACACCTTTGTCAGCAGTTGGCCTCACCTGATTGTAAGCAGCAACGGTAACGGTTCACATCTACAGGTGTATTTTGTTGATTGAAAAGGGACGGAGACTTACGAAAGCTAAGGCAGCTCCCAACACAATCCAAGTCATCGCAAAGCCAACCATTGTCGAGTCTACATGGCGCCAAGCTTCAAGTATGGATTCCAGATGTGAAAACAACGTGCTCAAAGGTATGATTTCAAAATTGTGATGAGCATCCCAAGAAAGGGATGCTTTTTCGAGTAAGGCAAGTATCTGTTGTAAATCACTTTCTACCTGCGCTAAGTCCCGAATTGCGCGGACTGCCCAGTATGATATTCCAACGATCGCACCGAGCGACCACGATATCCAGATAGAGTTGTAGACCATTGGTGTAAGAATTCGAGAATATTTCTTGTTCTTCGTGCCCTCTACGTCACAAAGACTGTATGAATTGTATTAGCGATACCTTTAGAGATCGTAAGACTCAACTTTAGGAATAATATTCAAAGGTCAAGTCTCACCAAGCGTAGCAAAGCGCCCATGAAGCCATAACCATACCTACATAAGAACTGTTTTTCTGGATGAATCAGAGGGTTTTATCATCTCTGTATCTAGTCGGATATGTATGCTTACGGAAGCCATCTACAAAACATGCGATAGGTGGAACATGTCGTTTGTTGTTGGGGTGGAATTGTAAGTAACGTTTGTTCATGAGCACTCGATGAAACCTTGACTTGGGGATCCCGAGAAAGAAGGGACATACGCGATTACAAACCTGCAGAACATCAAGAACCATTGGCATTGTTATGAAGTTGACGGATATTTGGGACATAAAGAGGACAATAGACAAAGTCATTTTTGTGTATAGTCACGAACAACATACCACATTATTAGCAACTGTCTTGGACCTCGCTGTCTTCCGACGCCCGAGTAGTACTGTGTAGGCGGCAAGTATTTTTCGTGATGAGCCACAAATCCATACACCGTGTTTGTACTTACCATGGCGTGATCAACCTCTGGACCTGACTCACCATATAGCTGAAGCAACCCGATAGCATGTACAGCACACTGGACAAAAGTTCGCACACAACAATCGTGGTACACCTATTTGGAACTAGATAAGGCATAACATTTCCTGGAAATGGAATCGCAACCCGGTGCAAGTAGAGACACACTCAGTCGACGTTATCTGAAATCCGAATTTTGAAGTCACGATGAATAATTGATCAACACTCACCAGATTCTGGATATACCCTACGGACCAAGTAAAGATACCTTTTCCGACTATTAGACCCCTTGAAAACAGGTATAAGCACGATGCCTGCGCAGCCAATTATGAATATGACTCTCATGAGGATAAAAAAAATCAGGAGCAACAAGGTCCACATGGGAAATTCTGGAAATACTGTGGAGTACTTAAGATGCCGCGCAGAAGTCGAGTTTGTTATTCAGCCCACTTCTTTGTGATTGCGCGAGGAAAATCTCTACTTACTGCATACTTTGATGCTGCTCTAAAAGGATTGCGTGCCCACTCAGGGCTATTGAGCAGGGTGGGCGGAAGAGATGAGAGTAACGACATTTGCTGATCATAAAAAAGAAGGGCAAAATGGCGAAGTAGAAATTGTAAGCGAAATCCGAAAATGAGGAAAACTTGAATTCAGCAAACTCATTTTTGTACCATCACTGGTGTGTAGCATTCCGCGATAGTTTAGTCTGATAAAACACCACGAGAAACATGAGCTGGTTTGATGGTTTATTACGTCCTCAGATCATGGCAGTTCCTTCCGTGTAGTTGCGGCTCCCATACCCCGGGGTTGGTGTCCCAATTAACCTGGCGCAGCATGAGAGAGAGGAAGTATATGTAGACACCAAATCCAAGTCAGATTCGGTTGTACAATACATCCTAGCCAGCGAATCCCTTTGCACGTTTTTATCTCCATGGCCGTCATCAATCATTTGAACCACTTAAACCCTTTCGGTCCTAAATCTTCTCTTTTCACGAAGTTTGTGGAGGGTTTTACGAGCTTGTAGTATGTACACTCATAGGAAAGAAGATACATACTCCACAGCTACTTGTGGAGGTGAGAGAAAATGGATATCAGGATGAGAAAAAAGATACCAAAAAAATCATGAGTAAATTTGGGTGAATTGTTCCTTCTAAATGTGATCCTTTAAAAAAGGTTTCACGGAGGAGTTAACAAAAACTCCCCGAAAATCCACTCCGCCCGTGGTTAAAATTCTCGCAGAGTAATTGTAGCTGTGGAGAATGATCGTAAAGAATCAAAAAACTCTAGACTTTCAATAGCATAGATAGACTTTCAATCAATAAGATGATCATTGGTTTGATGTATTGGCTTGGTCCGTGGGTTTTCCCCGAGGTGGTCACTGAAGTTTTCCCCCGCCTGGTCAAGTTGGGATTGAAGAGAAGAAGTTTAGTGAAGTTTACCCTTGTGAGTGCCAGGGTGGATGTGCGTGTGTATGTATTACCTCGGTGAGTCTTGTTAATGCTGACTGTTTCGAATCGATTTGAGATGGAACCTCACTTAATGGTCTCATTCTGTTTAGGTCGGATTTTGAAAAAGACTGAAACTAGAAAGTGGAGGATCGGATCACTTTAGAGAATAAAACGAATCGATCGATCAAGAGAACACATCAAAAGGAAAGGAAAGATCGATTAAAAGTGGAACTTTGGAATTCGAAACTCAGCAAGTCAAATCAAAAGATAAGAAACGAAAGAAACAGAGGAGATTGGTCAATTCCTTCATTCATCATCGAACGATATCAACAACATTCTCATTATCATCATGACTATCATAGAACACTCGAAATCATGTTCAAGTTCATCAACTAATCTGATCAAGAACTCTAATGATAAGATTTATTCAAACTTTGAAAAACTTCCAAGTGATATAGCAGAACAAATCATATTACAATGTTCAATTCAAACTATTATCTCATTATCACTTACATCAAAATCTTGTTATCATTTAACTCATTCTGATTCACTTTGGAGAAAGATTTGTAAATCATTAATTTCAAATTGGATTTATGAACCTTTAAAATTTAATAAATCAGAAGAAGAAAGTGAAAAATCGGATTGGACTTTAGATTTTCAGTCTTGGCCAAATAGGTCGATTGATCAAGTTAAGATTTTTAATTGGTTTCAACTTACTACTGGTTTTATTTTACCTAATCTTCAATACTTTGGTAAGTTTGATTTCTTGATCTTCAGAAGCGAGAATTTTCAACTAGATTGATCTTCCATTAAACTTGACAATGTTCATTTTCTCATAGGTTGGCATGCATCAAATCGAAACTCATTAGGAAGATTAATCTTAGTGACTTTTGATCCAAAGAAATGTGAAATAGTAGGAGAAGAGATCAAATCGATTAATACTTTTGATATTACACATTATCAACAAACCCAACAAATTGAAGGTTTACCAAGAACTCGACCTGAACATCCTATTCATGCCACAAGATTATCACCAAGAATGGACGTCTATCGATTACCAATAGATACAGAATCTCCTTATGCAGAGTATTCTATTAATCTTTTCGATCCGGCTTACATCTCTTTACCTTATTTTCGATTGAACCCTTCATTTTTGACTTCTTTTAGTTCACCTTTAAAACTTTTACCTAGTTTAGATTCTTTAGAAACACTCAAGTCTTCGTCTTTAGATTTTTTATCTTTTGAAATCATTCAAACTTTAAGATTAACTCAATCTAGATTAAAGCTTCCGATTTCTGAACTTCATTTACATCCTTCTTCTTCTTCGTCAAAAAAAGATTTAATTAGTAACTTTAAATTATCAATCTTATCTACTCCTAAATTTAAGATTCCAATGACTTCTTCAAATCATCCAAGTATTAGATGGCAATCAACACCAACGATCCGTCCAACTCTTTCAGCTACGATTATGCATAATGGAAGACGTTATATAACAAGAAGTGAAGAAGACGAAATTTCAAAAGATGAAGATGAAAGATTCTTTCCAATCTTAGGATCTAATACTTTATTAAACGGATTACAAGGACTTTGGGTAGGATATTATGGATTTCATCATGGAGTCGAATTTGGAAACCTTTCGATCGATCCTATTTCAAACCAACCTAATTTATTACAAATCACATTTGTTAAAATCACGGGGGATAGAAATGTACCAAGTGGGATTGTGAGTTGGAAAACTATTGTGGATCGGAAAAGAAATCAAAATGGTCAGATTAAAGGAGTTGTGGATTTGGATTGGATCGAACGTTTGGATTCTGGTCAAGTTGATCCTAGTGAATGGAGTTCTGGTCGTGTAAAAGGTCAAGGTAGAGGTAAGTAATCCCAATTTTTTTTCGATTTTTGATTTGACTTTGTTTTACTGATTCCCTTGGTGCACTTTTTTCTGTTTAGTTGCCAATTTGAATTATGAGAATCCAGTTTGGATAAATACTTCTATAAGTTTTATTGAAGAAAATCAATCAGATGTAGAAAATGCAGAAGGAGAAGAAGAAAAAGAAGAAGAATGGAATGGATCTAATGTTAAGTCAATCAGAGTAGTTTGGCATGAATTAAATCATGTTTCTAGTTTTTATAAAGTTTAAACCAAAAAAAAAGTTTATTTTAAAAAAATCTCTCTCAACTTTCAAGAAGAAGAAAAAAACAGAACGTGTTCAAGAATTGGAAAGAATAAAAGGATTTGTCTTTTTGTTTTGTTCTGTGTTTTTTATTCATTTTTTTCAATAAACGTCTTTGTAAAAGTGGTCATCTTTTCTTTTGGATTTGTCATTGGGCTTCTTTGTATTTGTAAAAGCAGTAAGCAACTTGTACAAATTGATAAATGAAGTTATGTAATTAGCATATACATGAAGTATTAATGATTAATCAAACTATTTTTTTTGTAATTTTTTCCAATAATTTATAAATGATTTTGTATCATATATAAAACTATATGATGAGAATACAAATATGGTGATTGTTTTTAAATTCTCATTGAAGTTTTCATGGTTTAACTTGCTACATCTCATTTGGGCAACCAAATCTTGTTCCAAAAGAAAAACTTGGTCTCAAACATGTCTTTGTGACAAATTCTAATTCTAAACGGGTTTAATAATCTGCATATTTATCACTAAAACTTGCGATTCCAAAGAGGATTCATATGGTCAACTTCAATTGACATTAATTAGATCAAAAAGAAAACTAAGAAGACATCCAGAATCATTTAATTTCAATTATAGCTAGTGGTGATGATTACAAAGAGAAATCTGATGTAAAAGAAAAAGAAAGATTTCATCGTAAGATTGTTTCTCAGACTGTAATTATAATACGCATTTAGTAGAATAGAATATGTGACAGGTGAACTGCTATTTCAGAAAGTCTTTTTGCAACAGTGCTGGGACTCGGAGGAAGAAAGATAGTCCCTCCATATGCATTTCAAGAGGCTTTTTACATCCATTTGGCTTCTTCAGTCGGCCATCGCGATATCACGACATTTCTCATTGGAGCTCTGTTGGACGTATCAAGGCTGTGTTGGATCATCCACAGTTCTTTATATGGGGATTTTTCAAGTGTGATTATTACCCACTAATTTAATCTAGAACAAATAGTAAAAGGAAACAAGTACAACATCTTTTTGGGATTGTTTGTGTTACGTTGAATGAAATAAAAATGACAATTGACGCCGTTTATCAATCAATCATATTTGGTATCCGGACAGGGTGCAAAACCTTGCAAAACTCAACTGGGGCCCGGGGCAGTCTCGGGGCAATGCGAGGACCGTGCTTTCACTACACCACAAGGACACTTGGGATGTCCACCGGGTGTCCGATTTTTCTTGGTGGGGGACGGACGTCCCCCCACAGCACACCGAGAAACGTCCGTCGGACTCCGACGTTCAGACGCCTGAGCAGAGCCCATCGGGCTGCCCAGCGCGCGCGAATCAACATCTATCTGACATCTCTCGAGGTTTGTTGAGAGGGCGAACACAGCACTGATTCCAAGAAGACCCCTTTCTGCTACCCATTGGACATCCTGGCTGCTGACCACCGACAGAACTCTGAATCCATCTTGGATAGATATCCAGGTTGTTTTGGAGATCACTTGTTTCAATGTTGATTTGATTGATAACGGTAAATTACTTATCAAGCATTGTTATAATGAGAACTATGTGTAGCTTGGAGGATACAAGATTGATGAAATGATAAAACAATGAGAGGATGAAACAATGAAATTATGAAACAATAAGATGATAAAAAAGATAAGATGACAAAAATGATACAACGATCGAACGATCAAACAATCAAACGATCAAACGATACAGCGATCTACGATAAAAACGATCCATCAGTAAAAATGATACAACGATAGAACCGATAAAAACGGTCTAACGATGATGCAACAACATCAACGATGAAAACAATGAGAACGATAAGAACAATAAGCACGATAATGACCAAAGTGAGATGGGTGTCATGATGAAAAAAGAGAAATTCACGAGTCGATACAAGCCATGCAGCACAAGGAGCTAAAGGAAGGGTTATCAAGCTTACGGGTCCGAGTCCAGAAACAAGGTTGGGCACTTCAAGGTGAGGCTCTGTTGGTTTGCTTTGTGAAAGCCAGATATATGTCAAGATCAAAGGGACAAAGGAGGATTAGGATGTTTTGTACATACCTCAGATGGTCAAGAGAAGGGGGAGTCTACGAGGAGAACAGTTTAAGGAGAATAGAGGAAAGAGATGAATAAGTTGAACGGGATGAAAGTGGCAGGGAGATATGTAAGAACGAAGCGAGGGGATGAAAAAGCTTTACATGATGATGATGTCATGCGAAACCTTTGACCAAATCAATCTTCAATTTAGCTGTCCTTGCCTAATTGAGGTTTTTGGTGTGGTGCTCATTGGACACCCATCTTGAGAATACTGGTGGCTGTCCTACCTCCATCATATGGACGACTGATCTTGGATCACGAGTGGTTGTCCGCAGTGTGCTGGAAGGGTGCCCACTTGATTGGGCATCCGTAGGTCTTCCAAGCACAGGGTGCTTGCACGTCATCCTGGCTAGGACGACATCAGTGCATCTTCAGGATGCGGTGCGGATATATATGCGCTCAGACGTCTAGCCAGCGTCCTGTTAGTGGACGTCGGGTCGTGTCTCCAATCTCGGACACGCCCGACGCCCTGACGCAAATAAGTGTCTTTGTGGTGTACAAGTGCCTTGAGTTAATTCCTAGGTGGTAATTAGGGTACTTAACCACTGGCACGTTTGGATGTCAGCTCAGAATTTCAACTGATCCCAACTTCAAAATCCTTCAAAACATCGAACATGGCTCTCAACAGATCTCACCCAGTTAAGCCCTTCTCTCGTTTTTGGAATAAACTGATCTCAACTGACAAGGAATGTAACTGACTTTCCTTTCTCATGATTTTGAACAGGTGAAATTAAGTGGTGATGTCAATAGAATCTTATTCGTTAAAAACTTGAATTACAAAACAAAAGGAGAGGTTAGTACTCTATCTCTGACTAAATTTCAAAAATGATTATGTTGATTTGTTTGGTGGACTTTTCTTAAAGGACTTGTACGATTTATTTGGAAAATATGGTGCTATTCGTCAAATTCGAATTGGAAATGATGCGAAAACTCGAGGTACAGCATTCGTCGTGTATGAAGACATTTTAGATGTTAGTTAGCTCTCGCTCTCCCACCATGAATTCACAAAACCTTTGAGTAACGATTGGGATTTGTGATATAGGCCAAAAATGCATTCGATCATCTTAATGGATTCCATTTACAAGAACGATACTTAGTCGGTACGTGGTAGCTAGCTTCTTTTCATTCCCTCCATGGTCAACTTCATACTGACATGGTTGAACTCTTTGTACATAAAAAATCAGTCTTATACCATCAATTTCAACGTCAAGCGGCCAAAGCCGATTTAGCAAAACGAGAAGCCGAGCTAGCTGCTCTCAAGAAAGCTCATAATATCAGTGACGAAACTACATGAACTTGGGTACCCATGTCTATAATCTTTCTTGGAGCGCTCCTCAAACCGTTCTGGTTCAATCCTCGGTCATCTTGGCGAGCAGAAAACGAGCTCCAGAACCGCACCTCTATCGCCACACCGCCTCGGTCTCCCGACCGAAGAATCCATAGGCTCTGCATTATCTTATCTGACATTGCTATGATCACACTTTGACTCACATCTTTGATCGGATCTAGACCAGCTCGTCTCGGGAAGTTTTTGCTCACTCCTTGTAAAATTTGAAATGTACTAGAATTTCTCTCCTGACTTGTATACAATCAACCGAGCAATCAAATCCAGCAAGTCCATATGATGAGACATACGAATCGAAAGATTGCGCACCAGAATATCTTTAGCGGAGAGGCACTGCATATAATTCAGCAACCCTCAATCAGTCAGACATTCACTTTGATCAACCCATTCCTATTGGTCTGTCAATCAAGGGCAGAGTACTTTCAGGCTTGGTCATATCATCAGCACAATGTCGAGTCTTGTCTAAATCAAAGCTACGCGCTTGTGGCAGTCAGAAACCCATGGCATACCGGTGTTTTCTCGGTGCATGACTCATGCGTGGCATATAGACATATCTCACTTTTCTAGAGGTCAACTGCCCCTGCAATTTTTGACGTGTGGGATCGTTTGTTTTCTGTGTCTACTTTGGATGCACTGGCCAGTCCAGGGGGACCAGACCACGAAATTGTTTTTCTGAAATGTAACAAAACTCGGATAGAAACATGATATTTTCAAGTGCATATCAATTAGGATTGGAAAATATCCTACAAACTGGCCCTGGCACATTGAACTCAGCAACCACAACCTTGGTCAAATGGGACACGCAGCCTTTGAGGTTCTATATTAGAACAAGGCGTACCATGACGCGGAACGTCGAAGCATTGCAATTCACATCAGTGAACAGATTGGGCTTGATGGCAAGGCCAGTGAAACTACATATGAATTCAATTGATTGCACTTGGCATAAGTTTATGAGGTAGTAGACCTGTCGCTTCGATGATATGGTAACAAAGTTGGTTTTTTTTAATTCACAGTTCTCTAGCCTTGGCTCTCAGCTGAAGATTGCCTTGAGTCTGAACAAGGCCGTAAAGATAATCAGCATGGTGTAGGGAAGATCGAGCGTTACGAGTGCACAGAAAGCCACGGCTGCGCCTGCATCAAGTTGGCCTCTCCTCGGAGGTTTCAAGGAGATGATGAGTAGCAGGATTTCTCCTATAAAACCTCTTTCATTCGACCACAAAGATTATTCCTCATCCTATCCTATCCAAACTCATTCCAACTTCAATTTATATCATAGTCGTATATATATCAATTTTTGATTCGAGATCACTACATTGTATAAAATCATTTCCTATCAATCAACAATTTTTCTTCAACTTTTTTCATCCTCGATTTCAGATACAAAAGCACTTCCACTCGCCCAAAATGATGTCTTATATCACACCTCGTTTCATTACTCTTGCTTTGATCATCACCATGTTATTTGCAGGGTATAATGGAGTTCCATGTTTGAACAATTTGGAAAAGGAGGGAGTAAGCCAATCCATCGAGGAAGGATCACTTTCAAGAAACACTCCATCTTTTACTCCTGTAAGTGTTTTTTTGGTATCTTTCGCACCTCAAACACATGACGGGATTTATTTCTTCCTACTAATTATTCTATCATTTTGTTACAAATCATTATAAGCTTCGAGAGGCCAAGCCAGTCCGAATGGAACGTCGAATGTTACAAACACCACCTGCTGGTGGAATGAAGAAAGGATTCCCTGGTGGCGGATCATGAAAACCTCATCAAATGGATTTCAATTTAAATCAAGTTCATCAGGATGAAATGATTGTTCTTTGTTCTGTAAAATTCTCTTTTGTGTTGATTTGTTAAATAGAAAAATGTACAAAGTCTGTATAAAGTAAAGATAAAGAGAGAATTCTTATTATTTTTGTAACCTGTCCAGGACCATATCAAAGTAAAAGCCTTCCAAAGACCAAACTCAACCAAGTCCCTTGTTCAGCTGTATCAAGCTGTAACAGCTCACAGCCTTTGTCCAAAGACATTGATACAAATAATTGATATCTTTAACAAATCACGGCTATCCTTTATTGCTGCCTATAGTGTGAGGTCCTACCAATAAGGAAATCTACAAGGGCGTTTTGCCCTGAAGATTGAAATTTCATCACACGGTCAGATTCTTCCCAAAATGCTGTCTTATCCAAAAAAAGAAAGAATAAGAATATGTGAAAGATATAACCTGATAGATTGTGATCTTTCAGAGACTCAAAATGTTGAATTTTGTGACAGGAAATATTTGTCCCAAATCACTGCAGACATTATTCGGGTTCCCCAAGTGGGCAGGGAAAAATGATTGGGAGTATGATTTGTCATAAAATGGTCTATCACTCCACACCTGAGCCATAACACCCACACTACATATGTGTAGCAGGCTCAGTGAATATGTGGTTATCATGTACATACAGTTCTGCTCAGTTATCTGCTCATCAGGACAAGTTATTCATATGTAATACATGCTGTAACTTCTTTCAGATTGAAAAAAGCTTCCAAAAGATTGACTACATACACTGACTCAATGTTTTGGTGTGATCTCATCAACTCAACTGCATGTAACACACTTTCTGTTACTAAGACATAGCTTCAACAATATTGCCTGAGCAGCTACAGAATTATATGTAGTGAATTTTTGGGAAAAAAATTTCAAAGTCGAAAAAGTTACATGTGGTATAACATGTGATTTATTTATTCTGATGGGCAAAAAACTGAGCAGACCTGTATGTACATGATAGACAACTATTGACTTAGCTTGCTGCACATATGTAGTGTGGGTGAAATGGCCCAGGTGTGCAGTATTAGATTCTTTTATGAAAAACTGTACTATTAATCATTTTCCTCTGCCAAATTGGGGAAGTTGAATGATGTTTACAGTGAATATTCATGAACAGAAAGTCCTTGACCTACCAATTCCAAAATCACTTTTGGAATATCGAAATGTTGCGATTTGGAGGTCTGATTGAAATTCCTTATTTTCAGGACCCGACTAAAACTGCCATTTCGGAGTTTTCAAATCCTTTGTCCATCCGTGTCTTGAGAACCTGTGCAAAGGATTTCTGACAAAATAATTTGACCCAGATCCGCAGCTTTCTCTGGGAAGAGGATATCCTCTGCCGTGCATTGTCTAAATCAAAGCTGCGTGTTTGATGTGCAGTCAAAAACCCATGGCGTACTGGTGCTTTCTCGGTGTATGGCCCATGCGTGGCATATAGACAACTCACGTTTCTAGAAGTTAATTGCCCCTGCAACATTAAACGTGTGAAATCCTTCGTTTTCTGTGTCTACTGTGGATGCACTGGCCAGTCCAGGGGGGCCAGACCACAAAATTGTTTTTCTGAAATGTAACAAAACTCGGATAGAAACATGATAATTTCAGGTGCATATCAATTAGGAATGGAGAATATCATACATACTAACCCTGATACATTGAACTCAGCAACCACAACCATGGTCAAATGGCACACAGCCTTTAAGGTTCATATTAGAACAAGGTGTACCATGACGGGGACGTCAAAGCATTGCAATTCACATCAGTGAACAGATTGGGCTTGATGGCAAGGCCAGTGAAACTATATATGAATTCAATCGATTGCACTTGGCAAAAGTTTATGAGGTAGTAGACCTGTTGCTTCGATGATATGGTAACAAAGAAGTAGTTTTAATTCACAGTTCTCTAGCCTTGGCTCTCAGCTGAAGATTTCCTTGAGTCTGCACAAGGCCGTAAAGATAATCAGCGTGGTCAGAGGTGATGATCAAATAGCGTAGGAAATATCAAGCGTTACGAGTGCGCAGAAAGCCGCGGCTGCGTCTGCATCAAGTTGGCCTCTCCTTGGAGGTTTCAAGGAGATGATTAGTAGTAGGATCTCTCCTATAAAACCTCTTTCATTCGACCACAAAGATTTCTCCTCATCCCAACTTCAATTTATATCATAGTCGTATATATATCAATTTTTGATTTGAGATCACTATATTGTATAAAATCATTTCCCATCAATCAACAATTTTTCTTCAACTTTTTTCATCCTCGATTTCAGATACAAAAGCACTTCCACTCGCCCAAAATGATGTCTTATATCACACCTCGTTTCATTACTCTTGCTTTGATCATCACCATGTTATTTGCAGGGTATAATGGAGTTCCATGTTTGAACAATTTGGAAAAGGAGGGAGTAAGCCAATCCATCGAGGAAGGATCACTTTCAAGAAACACTCCATCTTTTACTCCTGTAAGTTTCTTTTGGTATCTTTCGCACTTCAAACACATGACGGGATTGATTTCTTCCTACTAATTATTCTATCATTCTGTTACAAATCATTATAAGCTTCGAGAGGCCAAGCCAGTCCGAATGGAACGTCGAATGTTACAAACACCACCTGCTGGTGGAATGAAGAAAGGATTCCCTGGTGGCGGATCATGAAAACCTCATCAAATGGATTTCAATTTAAATCAAGTTCATCAGGATGAAATGATTGTTCTTTGTTCTGTAAAATTCTCTTTTGTGTTGATTTGTTAAATAGAAAACTAAATGTACAAAGTCTGAATAAAGTAAAGTCTTATTATTTTGGTAACCTTTCCTTATCAAAGTAAAAGCCTTCCAAAGACCAAACTCAACCAAGTCCCTTGTTCAGCTGTCTCAAGCTGTAACAGCTCACAGCCTTTGTCCAAAGACATTGATACAAGAAATTGATATCTTCAACAAATCACGGCTATCCTTTCTTGCTGCCTGAGGTTCTGAAAATAAGGAAATCTACAAGGGGGTTTTGCCCTGGATATTGAAATTTCACTACACGGTCAGATTCCTCCCAAAATGATGTTTTATCCAAAAAAAGAAAGAATATGTGAATGATATAACCTGATAGATTGTGATCTTCTGTCAGAGACTCAAAATGTTGAATTTTGTGACATAAAATATTTGTCCCAAATATTCATGAACAGAAAGTCCTTGACCTACCAACTCCAAAATCACTTTTGGAATTTCGAAATGTTGCGTTTTGGAGGTCTGATTCAAATTCCTTATTTTCAGGACCTGACCAAAACTGCCATTTCGGAGTTTTCAAACCCTTTGTCCATCCGTATCATGAGAGCCTGGGCAAAGGATTTCTGACAAGATATTTTTACTCAGATCCGCAGCTTTCTCTGGGAAGAAGATATCCTCTGCCGTGCAACATTCTTAGAGTCTGGGCAAAATAATCCCTCTGCCCAGAATAAAAACTCAAGAACATCAAGAGCCTTCAACCTATGCAAGTTTGTATGTAAGCGTGATACATTATAAAATCTCTAAATGTACCTATTTTCATCTGAAAATTTAGGTTATTTGATCGCAGATAAGTGCCATTATCAAGAGATGAATTTCAAAAGTTTCAAGACTTTGTGCTTCCATAACCCGGAATGGGTCTCAAGCTTTACTCAAGATAATCTCAACGTAATCTACTTCCTTTTTTCATCGATGAAATTTGACTTTGGTCAGGTAATTCTCAGAAAGAAAAGGAAATGAATCACAAAAAGATATAAAATAACATCTTATGATGATACAAATATGAAAGCACATTTTTCATTCCTTCTTTAGAACAAAAGCATTTTATTTTTGATTTGACAAGAACAAAGTCTAAATTTATGCATAGAATGAGGAAAGGATAGAAAGAAAATCCTACAACTGAGCTTCGGGTTATCGAGGAGCAAAACCAGGGGGAGGCGGGGGAATTCCAGTTGTGTTCGGAGGTGGGCCATTGAAACCAACCGGCGGCGGTGGACCAGGTGGAGCCATTGGCATACCACCAAACCCAGGTGGTGGAGCGAGTATTGGGGTGTGATTGAATCCTGGGGCACCATTGGTAGGTGGTGGGAAACTTCGAGGAGGGGGGTGATGAGGAGGCGGGGGAAAGTTCTGAGGAGGTTGCATGTGTGATGGCATTGGGCGAAAGGCCATAGGAATGGTGGTCGGAGGTGGTGGTGGACCAGGATATGGATGACCTGTTGGCTTCCCAGGGTAACCAGGAGACTGATTGGGAGGGCCAGGTGGAGGGCCACCCGAATATGGTGGATGCTGATAGTTCATCTGTGGATTTGGGTTAGGATGTGCAGGTGGTCCACCAGGATGTGCTGATGGATGAGGGGGCATCATGTTGTTTTGAGAGTTGAAGCGCTGTAAAACAGGAAATAAGTCGAAAACTCGTATCAGCAATTTATCATCCAACTAGCAATCGGACAAGTCGAATACGTACTACGGATGGTGGTGCCGCGGGAGGTGGTGCTGGCACAGCAGCTCCCATCCCACTTGGCAGCGCATTATTCTTCCTAGCTTGTGCAGCTAACAGACGTTCAGCTGGTGTTCCGTGTCGTTCACCTTTACCATCTTTCTTGAATGCATACTGAACGGTGATAGCTTTGTTCATCAAAAATTGACCATTCATTGATTCTATCGCTGTATCCGCTGATTCAAAGGATTCATAAGCCACAAAACCGTATCCGTTTGATTGACCGGTACTTGGATTTCTAGCAATCTTATCAATCGTTCATTGAACAAAATCAAATGATCAGCTATGTACATATCAGAAAATCGTCTTTTTTCAGCTTACCTTCGCAGTTTGTACAAGAGTCCCGAAAGTGTTGAACGTATCGTAAAGCATCCTTTCATCTACATTAACATCTAAGTTCCCTATGAATAGATTTGCACCAATATCAACCTGCTTTCGATCTGAGGAAGCCTACAGGAATTTGAATGGTTATCAAAAGCTCAACTAAGAATGATCAACAGAATGAGAGTCGAAAGTGACGATTCACTAACTTTGTTCACCCTGATCGGCTTGCCATATAGTTTAATCTGATTCATGATTTTACATGCATATTCCGCATCATCTTCTGTTAAGAATTCACAAAAGCCGTATCCTTGATGTGACATTGAAACCCGGTCTTTTGGTAAATGAACGTTAACTGTGGAATGTCGTGAAAATAGAATCAGATTCGAATAATCCAATGTTGATTTTGAAGATGATTAGCTCAGAAAACTTGGATCTTACCTACTGGACCAGCTTGTAGCATCAACTCCCAAACCAATGCATCCGTACAACGTTCATCCAAGTTACCCTAGAAATCAAAAAACGCGTAGGCACGTTGTCAGTACCAAGGTCGATCTGATTTGCATCGAAGGATGTCTGACCATGTAAACTGTCGCTTCTTGATTACGATCTCCATCTTGAGGCCGTGACATGTTGGTATGTTGATCAGGTTGCTGAGCCGAACAGTCTAGCGATCAGTTAAAGTGAGCCTTGAGCTGCCTTGAGTGGTCAAAATGAAGTTTATGAGACTTTCTCTTCATTTCATGGGTTCTTGATTATTCATGGGTTTACAGAATCACATCCATTTTGTTGACTGACATATGATCCGCAGCAAGTGATCTGTAATTCTGATACATACAATCGACCTCTTTACTCCAGATTCCACTCCATGAGAATTGAAGATCAACTTCATCATTCACTTGAGCAAGCACTTTTAAAAGTGAGACTTTATGATTCCAAAATAGAAAGGAATAATGAAGGCCTTTTGACTCTGAGTCGAGGAAAGAGAAGTGTTGGACGATGAACGCATTGAGCATGATTGGGGTACCATACCCAGCAGGTCGGAAGAAAAAATGTCAAGGAGTAATTCATGGCTTACAACTTCCTATACCGCCAAGCTCAGACTCATAGAGATCTTCAGAAGTATAAATAATTTCTATGAACATATCACGTTTTTGAGTGTGAATAGCTTGCTTCGCTTTGGGGAATTGAGAAAAGATATCCTCTAAATTGGCAGCATTCAAGCGGTAGCTGCGCAAAATAGCGTTACACCAAATGAGTATGCTGTGCTCTGATCAACAAGAACACTTTTGGTTTTTACATCAGGATGAAACCAACAAAGAAATTCTGCTCAACCCATTTAAAATGCAAAATAGCTCACAATATTACATCCATCCCATTGTCAGTTGAGCATAATCACAGGGAGGGCCAGTTAAACGGAATGATAGTAACTACATGTGATATAATTTTCTTTTCAAAGAATACATCCACCACAAATATCTTGAAGACAAATAAATGAGAAAGTGGATATTGAAGGTCAGACGAACAAATGCATGGACATAAGCGAAGGCCACATTAACAGAGACCAGCATGAGGAGTTGGTACGGAATTTCTCTCGGTCTGCTCTCGTAAGGTAACCGCTAGAAGGCACCAAGTTCTACGATGAAGGAGATTCGTTTTACCCAGATCGACTCATGCAAATTGCAAGGCACGGTGGACATCCTTGCGCCCGAGGTGGAAAGTTGCACAATTGAGATCGAGTGAGATCAGTGTAAATCAACAAGGGAGTATCAAACTTTCAGGGCATCTGTACTCCACTCTGACTGGGAGATGGCTAGATGGTTCCTGTTTCCGGTTGGAATCTGAACTGAGAGTGAGATTTGATCATGATCAGGAAATTGGAATGGCATATTTAAATCATCACTTGACTCCCATCCTGCAAAAAATTCCTCAAAACTTATCACTTCAAGATATTCAACTCTTACATCAATTTTCTTGCCTATCTTCTTGAAAAATCAAATAACCAGTCATACAACAGACACTCAATACGCCCTCTTGAATAACATCACGAGCGCCCTTCCGCCCTTCAATCCTAACATTCGAAATAAACCCTCGACGCGTAAGACATCAAACTGTGCCTATCTCTTTATTCTGATCATTTTTAAAACTCACTTTAGCTTGATCATCAATCACTCTTCTTTACATTTTTTAATCTTACAATCTTAATCAACACGTTTATTCAACTGTAAAAAAGTCACCTTGACCATCACGCGACCCACATAAATAACTCGAGATGGATTCTGCACCCTCATTCCGATTTCCAGCCGCCCGAACCCCTTCCACTGTAACTTCTACAAGTAATGGATCACCGCCATCGTCTCCAACCTTTCTAGTTACTCCGGGCTCGACTAATGAAGCCGCACCGAAGTCTCCTACGCTATCTACCATCTCAACTATCGTGGGCCGTAAATCATTTGGCGCGGATGGGGTAGCACGGATGATACGCCGCAAGAAATCTTCGACCGTAAGTACACAAATGTACTTTCATGAATTTTATTAAGATGTCAGGCATGTCCATGAGTCTAACCGTTACAACGTTCCTCGGCAGGTCCTACGAGCTGCGCTTCCCGTAAACCACTCAGTCGGTTGGACAATGAGCACATCTCCCACTAATAAGACTGGAATTAGTGCCAGTCAAAGTTTCGCCGCTCTTGTCAAGACTCCAAATGACGCTCCTCGCCGCCGTGGTATCCCGCGCTCAGTGACGGGGCCGCTAACCCGATTCTTCCATCTTGATGGTAAAGAAGACGATGATGGAAACGGTTGGGATTTTAGGTGCTGTGGCGAGGCTCCTCAGAGACCTGAACGCCGAGCGCCTGAGTGGCTCGGGACTATGGATTTCGAGGAAGCGGTGGAAAATAGCGCTGCTACCAAGACCGGCAAGATGATGAGTGGAACCATCTCAGCGTCTCCTGATGCTTTGGGCGCCTTGGGTAGCCCCTGGTGTCCAGATGCGAATTGGGGCCAAGCGTGGGACTTGGCCGCGGCGAGATTTCAATCGGGAGGCTCACCACCACCTTCCGCTACGTCGGGCGGGTCCCCAGCTTCGGCTGAAGCTTCACTGGCTTCACCGAGCTCAGTGCAAATCGTCCGACACCACTACTTGGGCTCACCTGACTCTTCCTTGGCCTCACCTGAGGTGATTTCATCAATGTACTGCACTCCTCCTTCAAGGACTTTGACAAACGGTTTCGGGGTCTCAAAGGCCGGCCCAGCTCGCCGGACCAAAATATCAATCGACTCTATCTCCGGTCCAATGATGAAAGATTTCCGGACCAGTGCGAGCCAAGTATCTGAAATCCGAAGTTGAAACCCTCACGACCATGGTGGTAACGATCCTTTGTTTGTTCTTGATTGTATATGTTATCTTGACCTTTAGTGACCATTGTACTCCATTGTACTTCATTTCTTTTTGTTAAATTTTCTCTTGGTTATCAAATTGGGCACTCAGAGTATTGTTTAGCTTTAGTGTCCTCAATCATATCTTTTCCCTCTTATCTATTTCGTTTTATATTTTGGTCTTAGTTTGTATGTTACGGAAGACTTGCAATATGTATACCATCTGCTTGAACACCGGTGGAATTTTCAATTGACTTTGTCACCTGTTTGGGAGCAAGTTTGTTGGCCCATCTTTTCGAACCGCATTATCTTCCATTACTCTGATGGGTAAAAGTAGAAGAAAGGCATAAAGTTGAATTCACTCGGATTGATTTATACGATCAAAGCAATCTCACTGTGTAGTTTACACCTACCAAATATCCGCCTTTCATGATGATTTGGTCATCCAAAGTTGTAGCCAAAAATGTGCTCAACCGCGATGACCTACATGGTCCAAAGACGCAATACAAGCCTCGAAAACAGCAGACTCTATGGTATCCGGGAGGTTTCCAATCAAATGCGGGATGACTTTGTGATTGTTTTGGTAGTGGCAGAAGAGCATTCTCAAAAATTCAAACTACAACTGAAATGGAATCGGTGGATGGTCGGTCGAAATCTCGTCCAACCCCTAATGAGTGAAGGTCATCAGCATCACTGATTACACTCTCGCTCGTCTAACATTCAAATATCTGTTCAATGACGTGAATGATACCAGTAACGCTCCACCCTGTTTGAAGCAGGAAACTTCAATCCGGATCAATGAAATATGACTATATTTCCATTAGATGTTGATTTACTTTCCCCTCTTCCGCTTCACTTGCACTACCACTTATGATCTTGATCAAATTATATATCAAGCTTCTGCAATGAAGATACAATAACCTTGTCCCATAGGTCATTACTCGAGGGCGCGGAGGCGGCAGAGGCGGAGCTTTTGTTATACTAAGACCTGGACTGTGAACTCTATTGTCCTTATCTTGATCAGCTCTTTTTACCATAGAATACTCCTTCTAAACTTCTTACTTTCGAGAATATCTCATGTCTTGCGACTATCTCCAAATTGACAAAAGTGTATCTTCTTTAAATAAAAAACTGTTTTACAAAATACAACTCGATAAACATTTTCCTTTGGCCTTAAGGTAATGTAAAAGAAAAGAACATATTTTATCCAGAAACGGAAGAATTATCACAACAATGAAAGGTTCAATCAATGAAAAATCAACTTTAAGCACAACAGAAATATAAATCTTGTTATAAAGTTTCTTTGAATACTTAAAAATTATCTTGGTAACATGACAAATGTTCCTTCATAACCTGGAATATTCTGAGGAGTATAAGTATCCCTCCACCTTCCAACTAAAAAAACCAAATCCAAAGAAAATCATCAAAATCAAAAGCAAAACCACAATCCAGAAACCAAAAAAGACTTACTAAGAGCTCCTTCAGGTGTAGAATAACCTCTATAAAGCCAACACGTATTCCTCAAAATCTCACCATTCACTTGATGATCATTCAAAGAAACCGGATCCTCATCAAGTTTATAATTCTTCAAGAGTGTCAACATTCCATCCCATGCTCTAACTCTACCTTTTAATTTACATTTACCCCAAGCAGAATGACCTGTTCCATGAATTTGTAATTCATATCGTTCATTGGAATCGTATTCAATCTCTTCTATTTTCTCATCATCTTCTCGAAAAGGCATTTTAAGTAAATATTCAGTTTCATCTTCATTTTCTCCTCCTCGGATCTGATCATTTGAATCTAAATTCAACAAATGATTTGATTGCCTTTGATTTTTGAATTCCACTCTTTTTCCATCACTTAATCTAACAATCACTTCTCTCATCTTAAGTACTTGTGGTTGATCTCCATATCTACCTTCAAACACACTTTGAAGTCTTCCCATTAACATCTCTCTATAACTAGTATAATCAAAAAACATGAATTTGCCCTCCCATATCCCATTGAAACAATTCTTAAAAGTATCAAATTGAAGACCAGGTGATGAATATGGATTTAAACAACGAGTGGTTCTATGATATTCTAAATCATACGAATTTGAATCACATTCCAAGATCCTTTTCATCTTCATTGAAAATAAATCATCTGGATGTATTGATGTTGATTGATGATTGATTGAATTTGAGGGAATATTGAAATTTGTTGTGTTTCCATTTGAGATTTCAGACCAACTATTATGAGAATTCAACATAAATCGACCTGATCTTCTATCGAGTTCGTTTAAACAGCTGACACCCCAAAAGAAAGACATCATAGCCACATGAGAACTAAGAGGAGGTAAGATTCTTATAGTTTGTCCCATGTATCGAAAAGTAGAGTAAGTAACTTTATTTGAGGGTCCATTATGTTGACAAGGTGTTGTTGGTGAATTTGTATGTTCATCCTGAGTAAGGTTTTCTTCCGATGTAGATACAGATGCAGAAATTTCGGTCGAAGGCTGGGAATCGGGGATGTCCAAAGGCAATACTGGAAGGGATGTTGAGGTCGAGGTATTTGAAAGAGCATTGGGGTGATCGGTGACATCTCCAAGAGATTGAGTTGGGCTACTACTTGAAGTGGAACTCGGGGATGCAGGTAGTTGACGCCAACTCCAAGGAGCATAAGCTACTTCAAACTGTGTCAGAAAGAACATTCGATAAGTATCAAGTCCATCAAATCTTTCAGGCTCTTCAAATCAAATCAAATCAAATCAAGAACATACCACATGACATCCAAATACATAAGGTTTTAATACAAAGAAATTAGTTTCTCTCATCTCTTCATACTCTGGACTTGAATCCGGACCTTCTTCTTGTAGTTCCACAAACAAATGATACAGGCGCATTCCAATAGCAGTTTCAGGTGATTCAGGAGGATAACCTGGCGTGACTGCTAATGTGATCAATTCATTATGCTATGAAAAAATGACCACCTCGTAGATAGATCAACCGATTATAAACTTATGGATGATTTTATTTGATGGCTAAAAAGGTATAACCTACGTGATAGTTTTTTAAAAATTGAACAATATTGGCTGCTTTGAGTAATTGAATCCAATTCTTTCCATCATTCTCCATGACCATCAAGTAAATCATCCATAAATCCTTTGTTAATAATCTCATTTTAGGTTGACTACTTTCAGCTTGACAGTTTGTCATCGAAATACCATCATTGTGATAATAAGGTGAATCAGGATTTGGTTCCTGACAAAGTGGAAGTGAAGCATAGAATCGAAGTCGATTGAATAGATTCAAACGATCGAAATAAGTTTCTGAAAGTTGAGTGGCGAATGATGATGAATGCGGTGATTGAGATTGACCATCTCCAAGCTGAGATGATGATGACGATGAACATTGCTGATCCGAACCTGGTACGCCGACGGGTGAAGAAGCTGTGATCACTCGCTTTTGACGTTTATGAAAGACCTCATCACTTTCAGTGGTATTAAATCGACGTTCTAAGGCTTCCGCATCGAATCTGTATCGAAATATAGTTGCATATAGTGATGGATTCAGATCGGGACGAAGAATAGAACTGAATCGTCGATTGAGTAATAATAAACTGAGGATCGTCTTAGGAGGCTTATAAGGATCTAAAGCAGCCAGGATAATGACGATTCGTTCGATGATTTCGATTGGTAAACCTGAAAACGTATATAAAGACATCTGAGATGGTCGATAGTCGATAGTTGGCGCAGTGGATGGTACACAGATCAGAAAGAAACAAATTGGAAAATGCGACAAGTCAAGAACCAATTGTATGCGTCTGAAACACAGACAATACTCGAACCTTGTTGACATCCCTTTATTCCCATACATCTCGATATCTGACCTTCATCCAAAATCAAATTGGGGATGCTTCATAAAGTCTCTCAACATCACCAAGTAAGCCTAAAGTTCAAGCTTGCCAATATAGCTTTGAACAAAGATAACTCGTAACCTTTGAACTTCATCATCATCTTTGAACCAAAACTGTGATCCAAATCCAAGAGCTTTCCTTCTTTCAACTTCTTTCCTGAAAATTCAATGATTTTTCTTTCCTCAATTTTTCAAAGTTCTTTTTTCATTATCAACTCAAGTGCGCGGCAGCCGTGTTTCTCACCAAACATGCGTCAGTTGTTTGACCCAAAGAGGTACGCAAGAAGCGGGTGCACGCACTATACTATGTAGCAACAAAATTGCCTGAAAAAGTGTGTTCTAGAGACTAATTTACAACACAACAAAAGAGATCTTGTGATGTCAAAGTAACAGTTTACTCAAATGAAACTAAAACATAGAAGGGAAATGTGATTTGCATTCTGTCAGCAGGACTGGCTACATCTACAGCATGGCCACCATGTCAGTTGAAATGTTGGAGAAGGACTAAAACAACCAAGTCCCTCAATGCTGTGATAACCAATTTTGTGATTCTTCAATTTCTATGAATCTATTGTTTACAGATAGTTGTTTGATCATACGTAATCAGTAGGACCAGTTTCAGGATCAGAAAGTAAGAGTTGACTAGACCTCCTACATATCTCTTTCATCAGTAGCCAAAATCACTCTAGTCCTGTCACTGTGTGCCAAATTCTTCCACAAAGGTCAACAGAGACCACTCAAACCAAGAACAAAAAGGGACAAGTGCTTCAACATAATTCAATAGCATCAGGTGTTACAATCTCATAAGTCTAAGTTCTGAGCATCAACTCAAATCTGTGCAATGATATGAACAACCCCCATAAAGATGATTTGAAGTAATGAATCAGCATGGTGGCACCAGGAAATGGCTTGTGTCTGGGGTGTGACAGGACCATGGAAAACTCCTGTGGGACCAACCAATTCAAAATCCCCAAAAAGATGATTAGTTCATACCTCAAAATCTAGATTTTTGAGGCCTTTGATACCAACTTTGTTGATAACATACATAAGTGAGGAACTCAATTTTTCCAGGTATAATACCTTTTTCACCAGTAAAGTACTGTTTTTTGCAGTTTTGGCTCAGTGTGAGTGATATGCCATTTGATACAGATTTGACACCTGGAATGATGTTTTTTATTGGTAATTTTTTTCATATTTTGCCAATTGATACAATCTTTATTGGTAACATAGCCAAATTCTTGACCCCAATTCATATGTTTTTTGTTGGTTGGTTCCATATGAGATTTCTGGGGTTTGGGTGTGGCACTGGTTGTCCATACTAGCTCAATATAGGATCATTTGTTGTTGGAATAATGACTTTGTTATGAGCCTAGTATCATTTCACTGAATATTAAGGGGGCTCAAGTCAAAATATTTGCCGCCTTTTCTTAAAAAATCGGGGAAAGTTTTTTACGGTACCGTGCTGTAAAAACTTTTCCCAATTCATAAAAAAGGACCAAAAAAATTCTTTCGGATCTGCTTCTGAGCAGTAAATTTACGCAAATTTGCTGCTTAAAAAAATTTGGGATGTCGTATAACATTTCCCAATTTCATAAAATTTTGCGTAAATTTTATGAAATTGGGAAAAGTTTTTTACCATAAAAGTTGTAAAAATTTTTGACTTGAGCCCCCCTAATGATCACATATATGATACATGTTCCTACTTTACACATCATTGTTTCATTTGCTGGTTTTGTTGTCTATGTGTCATTATCTTCTTTACTGTGACTTTCTTTCTGATATCTAAGATAATTATGGTCTTGTATCAATTTGATCAATTGCAAGAGGATTCAGCTACCCTATACCTTTGCAAGCAGAGACAGGGAGTTTGTATCTAAGTGGTTGACACTCAAAAACATCACAAGATACACAATATGTCAATTGATGCACTGTATCCAAGTTTCCAAATGATATTATCCCCATGTTGAGATCCCCTTGTGTTAACCTGACCGTTATTATTGTTTCTTTGGCTTTACTGACCCCCACTATTAGTTGGATTGGCAACTCATCTTGTATTGAGCTTTGGAAGCGGAAATCAATCAATCTCATCCCACTGAATACAAGCAATTAAATTAGTAGAGTCTAGACCCCACATTCAAGCTTAGCTTAACACAGACCCCAGCAGCCGGCGCGCAACCATGGAGAAGGCACTCAGTCACATCAACATTCAAGCTGCAAGTTCTGCTGATGATCACATTGAGAAAAAAAGTAATGATATTTCAAGAAAATTCAAAGCCCACCAAACCCCCTCAAGAAAAAAAACCCCTCCACCCAAGACCAAGAGAAAGAAAAGAATTAGATTTTACAAAGATAACAAAATAATCAATAGAAACTCAGATCAAAACCAAAACCAGAAATCAAAAATATATATTTTGCAAAACAAATTTACAAAAATCAAAACTGATCAAAAAAAACCCAAACCAAATGTTCTAGAAAACCAAGATGATCATAAAATAAATCTCCTCCCCTCCTCACACCCTGGACTTCTCAAACTCCACGAATTGAAAGAAATTCAATTAATTTGTCTAGCTTCACCATTCTTCAAAACTACCCATTTCGAACTTTCATTTCTCCAAGCCACCGAATTCCCACCAAAGAAAGCATAAAACCAAATCCAAAAAGCCAATGATTCTCTCAAACACCAACCCATGAAAAATAAACTTAAACTGATTTGTTTTGAATGAATTGATTTGTTGGTATGTAATGAAATACAAACTAAATAATCTGATAAGAAATAAAACGTTAAATGTAGGATGATGAATTGAGTTGAATTGATGATAGGATTTTGAATGATTCGGTTTAAACTTAGGATGGTGATTAAGCCTAAGAGAATCGATTCTGTGAATGGTTCAACAAGTGTTGCAGCCCTTAAAAAGAAAATCAATCCGATTCATCAGTTTTTATGATCATCTTGAGTTTCTATCCCCACAAATCAAAACTCTACTCACAAGCACATATATTTCCTAACCCTAATCCATCTAACCCTACGTCTAATATAAGCACTCAAACTAAGTTCACCCACCATATTCCCAGCCACATCATCTCCAATCGAATGTCTAAGATCCAATTCTTCCCAAAGAGTTTTACCAATCATATTATCTTCACCCAAGAATTGAGAAAAGGTTTCCAAAGCAATCAATTCATCTTCTTTTATCCTTTCAGCAACTTGAGGTCTTGGTTCATGATTTGATGAACCCGAATGATGTTGAAATCTACAATTCCTTAATCTTGTGGATCTTTCTAAATCAGATCTTAAAAATAAATTCGATTTGCCTACTATACATGATTCTACGGCTACTGAATTGATCGCGATATATTGTCTTGCATGATTTCCATTTAAAAAACAATATTCTAATAAACTACCTAAATGGATTTCATTGTGTTTAGTTGATGGTAGAATCGCTAATGGTACATGATGTACTAATCCGATTCGACGTGTTTGAGTTGGAATGGTAGGTAATAGTTTGATAACGGCTTTTGAAAGTGTTGTAGGTTGAATAAGTATATTTGAATCTAGTATCCAAAGTAAATCAGATCTTGCTGTACGATAAGCTCTCATTAAATTATTGATTTTCGGATTCACCCCTACTTTTTCTTCACCTATTCAAAACCCCTCAATAAAAGATTAGTTTTTTAGAAATATCAAAGAGCTTAATGAGTCTAAAAGGTACAAACCAATTAAAAGTCTTGCATTCACTAATGGATATTTTCTTATCACTTTTTCGGCTATTGGAATCGCTGGATCTTTAGAATTAGCCACACAAAGTAAAATCTCAAGTCGATCTAATGGCCATTCTTGTAAAAAACCAGATTCAAGATTTTCTTCAAGATTAGGATCGATTCCACAAAGTGGTCTTAAGATTGAAACTGAAGGAAGTAAATTAGGATTAGAATAAATCGCTGGAATTGAAGTTTTTAAACGAAATCTTTGAAATCTATTTTGCCAGGTTTGTATTAAAGATTGATATTGAAAAAAAGGATGAAGATTCTATGTAAGTGATCTAAGAATCATCGGGTTTTTCGTACAAAAAAAAACCCACGGGCTCAAGCTTGGAATAGACAGGGAAGAGATGAGAAGTCTAAGGGGTAAACTGACGTGACCCATGCGCCAGTGAAAGTCATGATGAGCATGATCGAATACCAAATCAATTCGATCCATCTAAAACCAGTGATGAATTGTGTATAGATCGTTTAAGTTGATGTTGATGTGGTTGTTGATGTGGTTGTTGATGTGGTTGGGGTTGGAATGATATGTTTGAGAAGTGATGGATTGAATTTTGAGATTTCAATTTAAAAAAAGTCAGTTCTATCATTCAGTCAGATCTCCCTGCATCATCATCATCATCATCATTCTCATCATCATCATCATCGGTTTTTCCATAATCAGTAATCTTTCTTCTTCTTCTACACTCACGCTAAACAATCCAGCAAGAAAACCAAGTTGATGAACATTGTGATAAGTTGTTTTCAAATAAGTTCGGTTCCAAGTTTTCCAAAGTGTACCAAAAGCTGATGATGAAAGTTGAAGTTGAGTGACGTTTGGCTGAATTGGTTGTATTTGATAACTTCTCACTCTGAGTCTTGAACTTCACTTTCAAAGAGAATTCAAGATTTTCTTTTCTTTTCTTTTCTACTTTTCCTCACAATCTCCATCCCTTTCATCCCTGTAATCCCCGAAACCTCAATCAATTTCCCCTCAATCACCGCCACTCCAATTATCCTTCTCCTACAGGTATCAATCCGATTCTACATACATACATTCTTGACAAAAAATATCCATTTCTCATTCATATACATCTTTCCTACATCTTTCCCCATGATTGAGAGAAACAAAATCGGATTGGTACATATGGTCAATACAGTTCAACCCCACCTATCTACATATGTATCTACCCCATCAATCAACTTTATGCAGCTCTTCTTTTGGTACAGTCTAAAGTTTCGTCATCATCCGAAGAAATTTGGAACCCTTTTGAGATTTGAACCCTTCTGGTCCCTAAAAATTATGTGTACCTCCGTGTAATTACACATGTACGACGTTACGTATGTACAGTCGAGTTCTACGTCTTTGATGATTCTTTCTTTCTAGGCTTTTGGTATCTTTAATTGAGCCTTTGGCTGCAATCTATCTACCCCTTTTTACCATTCATCCATAGTTATCACATTTAGTCCAATCATTTGGTTTTCAGAATCAAGTTAGGGCAATCTACTCAGCCCTACACCTTATCACCCAGAATCCCCTCTCAAAGTTTCCCTCTTGTAGGCATTTCAATCAAATCCTGGTTGCTAGTACTGTAAAGCCAACAATACCCCAGATATTTCATTAAAGAAATCTATATTCCTTGGGATGGAGTTTCTTTCTGGGGATAAGATTTACTGCAAATCATCCTGTGATTATGTATACAGTATTGTATAAGCTTATCTCTCACTCGATCATTGAGAGGAGTTTCCTAGCGCATACACTCTGTGTGGAATGTTGAATCAATAGCACATTCAAAGAAAAGAAATGAAATGAAAGCAATTGTGATTTTATTCAATCATAGCCACTGTACCTATACGCACTCATGGTCCTATTATTTTGTATGATACAAAGCAGTCTATCCAATCCTTCACCCAGTACAAACCATTTACTCAAACTCTTCAACAAAGAAAAAACAAATCACAAAAAAAGAAGTCGAACAAGCTGAAGAAAAAGTTAAAAGGTTATAATCAATGATCTTACAAACACACCAAAAATAAATCATCAACTTCATCAATCACAACTCATCCATCTTGTGATTAACTTTAAGTTTCTTAAGTGTACCTTTTAATCTTTTACTACTAGATGATAATTTAACTGGTTTAGGACGGATACGGATACGTTTATAATCCTAAAGAAAACAAAATCAAATCACATTTTCTTTAAGTTTTTATGATCCTATTGAAGTATTTGAAAATGATTTTTAAAAAAAAGAAAGGTAATCAAACTTTAATTTGGTTTAAAGGTTTGATTCAATAAAATAAACTTTATTGTAAAATCACTTTGACCCTTTTTTGTTTAATTTAAAGAAAACCAATAGGTAAATGGAATTTATAAAATTATAAACTTACTGGATTAAAGAAGTCTAACTTATCATTTCTCCAAGGTGATTGTTTAATCAATTCAGAAATTGAACGATTTTGACCTACATAAAACAAGACATACTTCAATATAAACAAGATTTCATTTTTGTCTTTTGATAAAATGTTGATACTTATAGAATATTTATCATGAGTCAAATTTAATGAAATGGCAACTTACCAGCTGGAATACTCGGTGTTTCAAGTTCCAGAAAGGAAGATGATTGGATATCATTATCAGGTTGAAATAAGATTGGAGGAGGAGATGGGTTCCAACTATTAGCGGCAGATGATATTGGAGGAGGAGATGGTTTCCAACTATTAGAGGCAGAGGATATAGATTTTGGAGTCTGAGTTGCAGTAGTTGATGAAGTCACGGTATCCGAAGCTATTTGCTTTGATGAGATAGTACAGATCGGTCCTGGAGATGGCTCCCAAACGGCACATTTCGGTACGGTCGAGCTTGCAATGACTTTAGATGAAGAAACATCATCTCTCGACTTCGCTTTGTGTAATGAAATGGTACAGATCGGAGTAGGTGATGGCTCCCAATGATTAGAGCAAGAGGTAGACTGTGAGGAGTTGGGTGTCCCAGTTGCTTCGAAACGCGGCCCAACATCAATCAGTGAATTAGTGAGAAAGTCGGGCATTATGTGATCTGAAACGAAATCTTTAACTTACAAGTCTCTGGACTTGAACTTGGACTTGTGCAACTACTGACTTCAGAGGCCGTTGCTGACATCGTAAGCCGAAGAGAACTTTGCATCGAATGGTCAATTTGGTCGAAAGCTGGCACATATAATGAAAGATTATGGGTCTGAAGAATCGTCTTAATAGTCTGTTGCAATCGAATTAGTGAAAACGAACTGAAGAATACAATACTCACGTTTGAGGGTTTGAAGAAAAGTACACTTAATCAAAGAACGAAACCAAAAGAATGATTGAACAAGTACGACGAGCCTGAAAACCAATCAAACGGTTTCGATTGAGGATGACAAAACATTCGTCAGATGAGTACGACAGCGACAGATTGAGGAAATTGGCAAAAAGAGTAAATCAAATCTCTCACTTAAGTTCTGGGTCAGTCAAATCAAGAGGTCACAACATCGGATCACCAGGAAGTCGTTCCACGAGGTGATTCCGATAACATTCGATCGATACAGAAAGCCCAAGAGAAGGAACGAGTTGACCAGCTGATCTCAATCGTAGAGGTTGATTTTAAATTTAGTGATACGAGAATAGACGAGAATGCTGATGATCGGTAATCAGCATATGCTTAGCTTCAGCCCCCCGCGCGGCCGCACGCCCCACCAAATACGACTTGATCACCATGCAGCCTCAACTTTCATCCGTGTCACACCTGAGAATGCAAGACAAATAGAAACGTCTGGACTATCATCACAAAAATGTATCACAATTCTTCATGAAAAACTATCATTGACATATCAGATCACGGACAGACATGAAACATACAAAAAGACAATTTCAGGTCACCATACCACTGGTGAAACTGACTTTGAGAGCCATTTCTGGAGAGAACTTGATGTGACATCAAGAAAACACACATGGATCACTCAGCCCTCACGCAGATGCTCCTTTTAAATTTGAGCGTGAAGTAGTTCATATTGAGAAAGGAAAAAGCCATGCACCCAAGCATCAAGGAAGTGTATTGCTTTGTGTGGGTTGATGTTACAAATGCCAAGTGTTCACCTTTGGTCAACTCTTTCCTCTCACGCGCTTTGTGAAGAAGAAAAGGCTGGGATCAATCCAGGTATAGAGATTAATGCAATAGGTATCTTGAAATTTTACATATCATACATGCAAATGGGTAATCTATAAGGACAAGGTATGTTCCAATACCTACGTCGAATGCCTTCCCATACTGCCTCGCCACCATCGACGTTTACTTCATGCCAAACCGTCTTGAAGCCAGCATCATGAAGGTCTAACTCGGCAATCTGAGTATATATATCGTAAAGTGTCACAGATGTTGCTCCAAGACCTGATTGAATTGAGAACAAATTTATCAACGTTTTTGTGATTTCGAGTTTCAAGTGGTAAATATGAAATAAAACTTTCGAAGGACATACCATGAAACCAAGAAAACCTTGCCTGTGGTCCTGAAAGCATATCAAACACATTATCAAAAACGATTTTCAAATCATCATAATTCTCCGAAAACGTATCCCAATAAATCCCATCAAAATTAGCTTCAATTTGACCAGCTTGAACATCAGCAAAGAAATCTTGCCAACGACCACGATAAATTTCGACTCCTTCTTTTTGATGCCAACCTTTTCGTTCCATAAAGCTTAATACATCTGGATGAGCTTCAATGATCACATGTCGATGAGGTTTAAATTTTTGTAAGTATGAATCTACTAAACCTAAACCGAAACCTACGTTTAAGACGCTTAGTTCAAAGGAATCTGAGTTAGGTTGATGTGCGCAAAGTAATTCTGAAGTTTGTTTCATGATTTCATCTTCCCATCCAAGCATCACACCATTCCCTTCACTATCAATACAAACATCTTGACCTGTTGAAGTAGTTTTGTAAGTTAATCTTGAAGCTAAAAAGGTTGCATTATCGGATGCTGTTGATTTTTCATTTCTACTTTGAATTGAAATTGATTCTTCTTCGGTCGATTTTGTTTTTGATTCTAATACTCTTCGTAGCATTTCTGATCGAAGTCCATGCGAAACAATTAATTGATAAATGGGTTTATCATTCATTGAGAATGCTACATCACCTGCTGTCTATCCAAGAATTCGAATCAAAAGTCAGTAAATATAAAGTTGGTTTTTTAGAACAAAAATCTGGTGAAAACAAATTGAGATGACATTTCTCATTTGTTTCTGAATAAAATCGATTCGACTTACATGTCCTAAATGATCTGGCATAGCCCAAAGAGCTCCAGCTTGTAAAAGCTTTTCTACTACTTCTACACTTCCAGAAGTAGCAGCATAATGTAATGCTGTCCAACCATCTTCATCTTGTAATGAATAAGAAGGTAATAAATCATCTTCCAAGATCTTTTTCACTTGTGATATATCAGATGTTTCACATGCTTGAAGTAATTCATAGGCGATTGTTTTTTCTGTGCTCGGTAAATCTCGAATGTAAGTTGATTGGGTGATTGATTCTTGGTTTGGTTCTTCTGCTGCCATCGAAAAATTTCTTGTTAGACTTGATGTTTTGTCTCGCGGGTTCGGTAAGCCTATGCTGTCACACAAAATTTTGTCGAATCGAGCGGCGAGCCTGACGCTTTGAAATTTCACAACTTGCGACATGTAGATCACATCTGAAGCACAGTATGGTTGCTACTGTCAAAGTTCAGACAGATACTGCAAATGCCCAAATCCAATGTTCTCACTCAAAACTCAACATTTTGAACATTTGGGAGCAGATTTGAGATCCTCAGTCTTATGCCTGTGTATATATACCTTTTCTCAAATATTGACCTGCAGTTGGCCATGGGTTGTCCAGGTGTTGTCTTTGAGTGGAGATGTTATGAACGGCACGGGGTGTCAGGGACGGAGAGCAGTGTGATCTCGAGGAGGGTCTGGTTCCACTATATAGATTGTCGGATGAGAGAAAGGGAGAGGGAGTACAACTCTGTGGTCTAAGAGCATCCACAACGGTCCTCGTATTTTGCGGGCCCCCAAACAGACCCCTGATCCAGATTTGTGGATGTCGGGGGTCAAAAAAACACGGTTGCACAGTGGTGCACCTAAAATTGGGGGTCAAACCTCGATTGAGGTATATTGTATGCTTGTACCGTATCATCCTCCATGATACTCTCTTTGTCCACCCAGAGCAAACAAAATCCAAGTCATTTGATTGAATCACATCAATGAATCCTACCCAGCTCATCGCTTTTTTTGACGACTTCATCAATGACGATGACATCGATTTGGCTGCAGCCCAAGTAGCCGCTCACTGGTACCAATCTACACAACAAAATGCTCCTGAAGAAGAGAAGAAAACGCGTCAAGAAATACGCCGACATCGTCAGCTTGCACACGAGATCATTTACAATCAGTACTTCTCTCCGGATCATTCTTACACTGACTATCAGTTCCGAAGACGGTATCGAGTAGAACGAGTCATTGTCGAAAGACTTCTGATCGATCTACAGAACCACAACCGCTACTGGATTCAGAAATATGACGCCGCCAAACGTCTTGGTTTATCTCCTCACCAAAAGGTCACAGCTGCTATGCGACAAATGGCTACTGGGGTTTCCGCCGAATACCAGGACGAATACATCCAAATTGGCGAGTCTACAGCTCTGGAATGTCTCAAAACTTTTTGTCAAGATGTTGTTCAGATATACGGGGATGAATACTTGCGCAAGCCAAATGTAGAAGATACTCAAATGTTACTTAATGAAGCTCGTGACCGCGGCCTCCCCGGTATGTTAGGATCAATCGACTGTACACACTGGGAGTGGAAGAACTGCCCAACTGCGTGGCATGGTCAATTCCGAGGCAAAGAGAAGGTGCCCACCCTCGTCTTGGAAATAGTATCATCTTACGATACATGGATTTGGCATGCGTTTTTTGGCCTTCCGGGAACCCTCAACGATATTTCAGTACTTGACCGATCTCCTCTTTTCCGCGATCTGATGGAAGGAAAATCACCTGAAGTTGAATTTACAATTAATGGCAAAACTTATCATCAAGGATACTATTTAGCAGACGGAATTTATCCAGATTGGGATACATTAATCAAAAGTGTTACAGATGGTAATCGAAAAGAAAAGGTCTGTGTGTACTTTTATCATTTCATCCGCACAAGATATGTAGCTGACTCATCATCTCTAGGTGTTTTCTGCACTTCAGGAGGCCTTGAGAAAAGATGTCGAGCGAACCTTTGCAATAATATTTGCAAGATTCGGTATTCTCAACTGTCCAGCAAGACTTTGGGACACCGCCAACTTACAACAGATCGTCTATTGTGCAGTTATCTTGCACAACATGCAAGTTGAACAAAACCGACTTGCTGGCCGTTACGAACGCAGAATTCCCGCTTACCTTGATGATGCTCGCCCTGCACCCGAACAAACTGCTGACTCATATGCTCAATTTGAGCTTTACATTCAAAGACTCCATACTATGCGAGATAAACATCGTTACAGAGCACTAATGCAAGATTTGATCGAGCATGTATGGAGTCAGTCTGGTGAACAAGAATAAGATATACTTTATCATTTGAATACATATCTTTAGATTTAATGATCAATTTGTACTCTAGAAGAAGCTTCGAGCTTCATCTTTTATCAAATATTGACATATTTTGATCGATCGATTGGTTTCTTGATTATCAATTTTCTTCTTGATTGATTTATTTAATTATTTGACTCGAATGGTTTTTTTTAATATGATTGTAATTGATTGTTCAATATTCATGTTCATTGAATCAAACAACTGAAATTGATCATTACAACTTGTGAGAACCAATTGGCAAACATAAACAAAAGTACAAATCGATGGTGAGACAATTTGAATAGTTAATCGAAATTACAAAGTACTTGAACTAAACGTAGTTTGGAATTACAAAGTACTATCCTTTCCATCTTGTTCAACTGACTCGCTCGGCTGGCCACCCTTTTGAAAAGGTCCAAAGAAATAAAGACCTATCAGATTAATGACCAACGTGTTGAACTGTATAATCAACTACTTACATCTTGTTGTCTGGCGCGAAATCTCTCCATGACTTGTTTGCGCCGGGCGCGCAAGTACTCCATTTGGATTTCATCGAAGTCTTCCGGCGGGGTTTGAAACATGAGCTTGTCGTCCGCAGCCTGAGCTGAGGCTGCAACAGCTTCTTGTGCAATTTGCACCTTGGCTGCAGAAGTGCTAGCCAGCAACGTGATTGCTGCGGCTATCTCATCGCCGGCCCCACTCGAAGTTGATTCCTTCTGATCTAATTTAGCCGCTTTTGCCTTTTTGCGACCAATTGGTCGCTTTGGCGGTTCGGGTTCAGTGGAGTCGATAACGATAGAAGAAGACATGGAAGGAGTAGGTGTCGCAGTCGCCGGATCAGAGCTCGGTATGTTGTTAGAAGCTGGTGGTGCGGGTTTTCGTTTGATTGATTCTTTTGTTTTGTTTTTCATTTGATCGCAGTTCATTGTCCACTTTTGATGGACCCGAAGAACAGCCCAGCAGTGCTCAAGACCAAAGCGTTTCTTGTCGTTTGAAGCCGAGAAAATCTTGTGAGCAATCTCAAGCTAAAAGATAGAAAACAAAACAATTCAGATCGAATCCTTGACCTCAAAGATCAAGTACAGCACATACCAGATCAAGCTGTACACGACCAGTGAAGTGGGTGGATGTCGCTTGATCGAAAGCAGCACAGAATTTGCTGACGTCGTGTGATATCACAGCCCAACGCCGTTCGCAAGCGGTCTGATTTCGAACAGAGTCGATTTCTTCCTTGAAGTAGCTGTGAATTCGGCCCCAGTAAGTGTTTCTCTTTTGTGAATCTCCGGTATCAGGATCGATTGAGGTTGCTGCCCAAGCCTTGCAAAGAGCAATGTCTTCTTCGGAAGACCAATTCTTCTTAGTGAATTGCTTTTCGTTGGTTGCGGTAGAAGTTCCCAAGTCAGAAGGTTTTTCAACCAATCTTGTGGATTCAGCTATACATGGATCAAGTGGAACTGAATCAAATGGGAAGATGGAAGATTCGTGAAGTGGATCCATTGAAACCAGAGGGTATAAATCGGGAAAAGGGAATATTGACGATGCTCAAGCTCAAAGTTCGAAGATTTCTTGTGGAAATCTGGATGCATGGCCTTCTGTATTGCTCACGTGAGAGCAGTGGCACGTGATCTCGAGAGCCCCCATAGACCTCGCAGATGTGGAGGGCCCGGATGGAAATCTGGAGGCCCTCGATGGCTCACCCCCGATTTTGCGAGGTCCGTTGCGGCACTTTTTGGCTATTTGACCCCCTACATCCTCGAGGGCCCGCAAAATACGAGGACCGTTGTGGATGCTCTAAGTACGAGTCTTCCTCTTGTGACATGTAGTGTTCAACCTGTCAATCCTGTTACATGTTGTAATCGTAACATTATCCCCCTTTTAATGCCCGGGTTCCCTCTTGCGAATCCTGCATTCTGTCCCTGGCCAGCGTTAAAAAACCCATTGGGAAAAAGCTTGGCCGCTCACTTTTTTCTCCTATGCCTTTTGTGTTTCTGAGCCGCTTCTGGAAATTGTTGATTAAATTTCTGAATTAAGTCGTTACTATTCTTTAAATTACTCGTCGGCTCCCATGAATTGTGCGTTGTGTCGAATCCTTTCCACTGTATTAGGTATTCTAGGCGGTTATAGCGTTTGCGGCAATCTAAGATGTCAGCTACCTCCCACTCCTTTTCGCCTTTGATTTCGATTGGGGGTGGTGGGGCTTCTTTACGCCCCAGTATCGTATCTGTGTGGTGTTTTTTGAGCACCGAAACGTGGAATACGGGGTGTATGCCCTTCATGGAAAGAGGCAATGTCAGTTTGTACGCGAATGTTGAAACTCTTTCACTGATACTAAAAGGTCCTAGCCATTTATGGTCGAGTTTTGGGCTAGGTCTTGTAGTTGATATGTTAGTGCTTTTCAACCATACTTGATCACCTATCTTGCACTCTGGTGTTGCCTGGACTTTCTTGTCAAATTGTGCTTTCATCGATTCCTGACTAATGCGTAATGATTCGGTCAGTTCAGTTTGGACTTCGTTTAAGATCTTTAGCCTCTCTTCAACTATTGGGGTACACTGATCTGATGACGGAACGCCTCCGAAGGTGGGGTTATATCCATAGTTGGCCTTAAACGGTGAGACGCCTGTTGATGCGTGATCGTTGTTGTTGTAGGCGAATTCTGCCATTGGAAGTAATTGTTCCCAATTATCTTGTTGATAGCTCACAAAGTGTCGTAGATATTGTTCGACACACTTGTTGACAATTTCACTTTGGCCGTCCGTTCTGGGGTGATAGGCAGTCGAGGGTTGTAGTCTGATTCCGAGTTGTTTATCTAACTCTTTGGTGATCTGTGATATGAAAATACTGCCACGGTCCGACACTATGGTCTTCGGCGTGCCATGTATTTTCCATACATGATGAATCATAAGGTCAGCTAGGTCCACTGCGTTCATGGTCTCTCTGCATGAGATGAAATGGGCCATTT